CCACTTTGGATGCTGTAAGAAGAATTTGCTCAATAAATGCTAAATACAGCGTTGACTTTTAAATGTGTGTGTGTAATAAGGCTAGAAATTCCAGAGCGCTTCCTGCATTGCGCTAAAAATGTTATAAAATGCACAGGTGTAAAAGGTTTTAATTTTAATTTGACAATTTTTCAATTTAATTATTCCATTCCAACACCAATTTTATCCAATCTAAAATTTTCCACAAAAACTCCTTATTTACCTCAAGAGTGGGATATATATTTGTATTTTAAATTATTCCTATTAAAACTCCTTATTTACCTCAAGAGTGGAATATATATTTGTATTTTAAATTATTCCTATTAAAACTCCTTATTTACCTCAAGAGTGGGATATATATTTGTATTTTAAATTATTCCTATTAAGACTCCTTATTTACCTCAAGAGTGGAATATATATTTGTACTTCAAATTATTCCTATTTCCTTACCACTTCAACTATCTCAAACCTGAGGAGTGAATTGTGGCGAAATAGCTTGAGGAAGTCGGTAAGAACGAAACTCATGTTATCTAACATTATTCAGAAAATTGAATATAAAGTAGAAATGCATAATTTTCTATACTTTATTTTCCCTCCTTTGCAAATTTAAAGGAAAACGGAACAACTACAGGAAACTTCAGTTGATTGTCAGAAGTTTTTTTCTGATATATTCTTTCAAAAAATAATTTATGTCCGACATATCTTTTTATACTTTATCATCTGGACTTGATCATGAAAGGATAGAATTTCAAGCCTCCATTATTTATGATATTGAATACTAAAATAAGCATTCCTTGACACTTTCCTTTTCTCTTTATGTCATTTTTGCCCTTTTTGCTCTGTAGGAAAAAAGGAAAAAAAAACTTTTTTAAAATCCATGCTCACTAATCAGATTTGTAAAGGAAAAACATTATTTGAGCTACTTTTTTACCTTCTAGCCCTAAAAGTTTCATAGATAATCATATGATTCGATTTGCTTCCTATGACAGATTTATATTCTCCTTATTTTTTTAAATAGTTGGACGAGAAACCTACTGATCCTGGCCACTGTAGCTGTCAGGGCACATAACTTGCTGATTGTGGATCACGTTGATGCAGAAACCGAGACAGGAGTGAAATTTTCTCCGACTAATAGATCAAGAATAGGAACTCGATGTCAGACTTATCTCGGAGTAGAATTTTTCTGCAAAAAATAACGGTAAAAATAGATTTTCATGGGATCCGTCTGTACCTAGCATAATTGCGTCTATGATACTGGGTTTTATATTTATTTTTTATAGAAGACGAAGGTCATGATTATGGACTACTTTGGACTGCAAAGGTTTTAACCCAATTAAATCAAATTAAACTTCCCTATTTTTAGTAAATCAAAGAAAAAGAATAAAAAACCCTGCAACATGAAGTCCATAGTTTCCTCACAAAATTTCTTATTTATCCAATCCAACTCACCCTACAAATGCCTTTTCTAAATATTCTCTTTTATAATCCAACACTAAATAAAGCTTATTACTTCCAAATTGTCTGCATTGTTTAAAAAAAACCCCACACGCTCAAATCTTATTTTTCCAAGAATGAAGTTCCAATTCTGAATCAATCTGGTGCTCAAAGTATACTTCACTGTACTAAATGTGAAAAAATTCTATACTTTTCACTTGATAAGACTAAATTTCAGTATGAATCGTTTTTTGCCAATTATTTAAATCCCCACTATCTGAAACTTTTCCGTTCTGGAAAATATGAGTAATAAATATTTTTTACATTATTTAGTATAAAACGAAACCCGACAGATAACTGACTAATGAACTGGTCCCGGAGTCGGACTGACTGCGGAGCGGAACGTTTCAGCACAAACATAACGGTAAAAAAAGATTTCCATGAGATACAGTTGAACCTGGTAGAATCTTGTCTACGTGACTATTTTTTAGACAGAGGGCGAAAGTCGCGAACCTGGACCACATTAGACTGCAAAGGTTTAACCCTAATAAATCGAATCGAAAATAAAAATAAAAAATTTTCTGCAATATTGAGTCCTTATTTTCTTTGCAAGAAGTTCTTATGTTATTAAACTTACCCTACTACTACCTTCTTATAAATACTTGTTTTTAATCCAACACTGAATAAAGCTCATACATTTCAAAACCTGATTTAAAGAATTTATTGTCATAATTCTAGATTTTAACATTTTAGTATCATAACTCTAGAATTAAAGATTTTTTTGTCCTAATTCTAAATTGAAAGATTTTACTGACACAATTCTAGATTTAAAGATTTGTTGGTCAGAACTCAAAATTTAAAGATTTTATTGTCATAATTCAAGATTTAAATAGTCTATTTCTATAATTCTAAATTTAAAGATTTTTTTTGCCATAATTCTAGATATAAAGATTATACTGACAGAATTCTCGATTTAAATGTTATATCATCATAATTCTCGTTATAAAATTTCTACTGTCATAATTCTAGATCTAAAAGATTTTATTGTCATTCTTCTAGATCTAAAAATTTCTTTTTGATTGTCATAATTCAAGGTTTGAAGATTTTGTTGTCACAATTCTAGATCCACAGATTTATTGTCACAATTCAAGATTTAAAGATTTTAATGTAATAAGTCTAGACTTTAAGTTTCATTGTCATAATCATAAACATAAAGTTTCTATTGTTATAATTCAAGACTTAGAGTTTATTTTGTTATACTTCAGATTTAAAGATTTGATTGTCCTATTTCTAGATTTAAAGATCTCATCGTCACACTTCTAGATTTAAAGATTTTATTGTCATTTTCTAGAGTTAACGATCTTATTGCCGTGATTTTAAACTTCTTTTTCCTAATTAGTTAAACCGAAACCTGGAAACTAGCTGACTGCCAGACAGATCTCGGAGTCGGCCGATCCCAGAGCGAGATTTCTCCACGAGAAATATAACGGTAAAAATAGATTTTCATGTGTCCTGGATGAGACTGGCAGATTTCTGTCTATGTCACCGGATTTTATATTTATTTCATACAGAGGTCGAAGGGCGTGTACATGGACAACCTTGGAAGGCAAAGGTTTAACCCCATTAAATCGAATCGAATTTCCCTATTCTTAAACAAGATTTAAAGATTTTATTGTTATACTTTAGATTTAAAGATCTGATCGTCCTAACTCTAAATTTAAAGATTTTATTGTTATAATTCTAGATTTAAAGATTTTTGTGTCATAATTCTGTATTTAAAGTCTTTGATGTCAAAAGTCTAGAATTAAAGATTTTAGTGTCATAATAATTCTTGAAATTCAGCTAAATTAAGTATTCCTATATAATCCTACATTGATGAAATCCTCTTCAAAGAAAGAATTCCATCTGGAGTTAACAAGTTCCAGGCAGTCTGTGATTTAATCAAAGATACACATGTAAAATACAGGATTAATACATTTTTTTAACATTAACATTTTTGATTTATATTTAAATTATATAGAGATAAGGTGAGAGAAACAGAAAAATAGATAGACAGAGAGGTAGAGAGTTAACCAATTGTAAATATGTCAACATTATAGATATATTGAAAGATCGTGCATATGTGTATTCTGTAACCTCTATCAGCTGATCTCCCCCCTCCTGTAGTCAGAAGCTCTAACCCNAAGAATCGTTTAATCAACAAATTTGACATGTTGATTCATTCAATTGTTCTGGAGTTGTTTTTCTGTAAAAGTTTACAATAAGATGGAATGAGTAAAAGACGACCTTTATAAACAACTTATCTAATATTTTTGAAGGCATCATGATTTGAAGATTTTATTAACTCTCGATTCCTTAGCATTACATTTTATCAAAAAAATGCAAATTAATGTTCTATAATATACGCGTTTTTGCGCACACCCCCGGCCCCCCACCTCTGTATATCATTTTTTTCAGTCAAATAAATGAATTCTCTTGCTAAAAGAAAAACTATTTAGAATTAAATTACAACAAGATGACGCGAAGCTGCCCTAACCTGTTAGTATAGCATGTAATAGATATTTAGATTATTTTAATTCTTGTTTCAATTTTTAAAAAAATAGTTCTTCAATTAAATTTTCTTAAGCATACAATAAAATCACAAATAAAAGGATTTCACAAAAACTACCTTGTTTTGTAAATTGCCGCTGATATTGTTTGATTTGTATATGAGACCACTCTAAAAGAATAGAACATTTTTCTATCTTTATACAAAACTGCAATATTTCTTCACAATTTAAGGAATTTGTGAAATTTAGAAAAACAAAATACAAGCCTTTAATCTCAATTAAAATTCACTTTTTAATACAAAATGTTAATGTATCATTCTGGACTATTTCATCATGTTGAGACTTTTTAAAAAAAGGTTCTTGGTGGAAATAAAAGCCAAATATGGTTTTATTGGAGAAAAATGCAGGGCATGGAGACAGAATGGCGGGAGGCTTGGTGACGTCACATGAGGCTGGGAGACCAGTTTTGCAGGGCCTGGTGGTAATTCGCAAATCCTGAGGCTCGGAGGTCATTTTTGCGGGGATCATGGCGCCTCTGCACCCCCTCCCTCTGTAATATAAGGTAAAGAGGTAGCTGTCCAACGAAAAGTCGTCTTCGATTGTGTGCAAAGTTTAAATAATGCCCCGCTAACTTCACTAGACACCGCAAAACAAAAAAGTCTGCAATAGCAAAGCAATGTGATTATGTGATATTATGTAAATAGCAACAAGGACATCAAGCGTTCATCTAAAATACAATTTTTAATTAAATTTTATTCGTGACAGTCCCTGGTATGATGAATATTGTGAATACATCGATTTAAATTGTAATTTATATATAAGATTATATTAGTTTTTTAAGTATTCATCGATTAATTCGATTGTCACTCAATACTCAAACTATTTTACAGGACTTCCATATAAAATACAGAATTTGAGTAATTTCCAAGAGAACAATTTTTGGCCTTCCCCCTCCCCGGCCCTCCGCCTATTAATTTTGTAAAACAAGTGTACAGTAAAGAATATCGTGAATTGAGAACGCTTTTTGGACCATCCCTTATTTCAATATTGTTCAAGAATTTCGAACCCCCACTCCTCTAGCCTCTCATAGCTGCGGCGCTCGGTCCCATCAAAGTCCTTTCTCCCATCAAAGTCATAAAAAATGGGGGGGCGTTCAAAAACTAATCTCGAGTTCTCGTTATTTTATTCTAGTTTATTCTTAAAGTGCTATCACAATTTATGTTTGAAGTAATTTACTTACGAATCTCAATAACAAGAGGCTAATCAGTTGTCAACCTGCAGGTCCTGTACGACCTGTACTGTAGGAAATTACCAGTTATTTCATTAAACTGCACAGTAATATTGTCAATCTCATTAATGATATGTGACATTAAAGATGACCGTCATTACTAACTGAATGTATTTTCTACTATTTTTTTGCCATCATCACTTTTAAAATTCAATGTAGCTCAAGGAGCCACGTATTTCAATACTTTAAGATTAATTAAGAAATTAAGCACTTATTACGTAAATAACTTTCTGTCGAAAGGTATGTAGTTGCTTTTGAAATAAATTTTATAGAAATCTAGAGTCGACAAAAGTAAGGAAAGAATGAAGGGTCGTTCCTCATTGCTGGTTCGCTTTACCCCTGGCGGACTACAAGAACATAGGGAGGTTATTGGTGATGCTCTATCCAACATGGAAGTTGATGCTAAGACTGCAGACGTTCTCTTCATATGCAGGTCATAATCAGATGTTTGTTGCATCATTTATTCTTCTTCTAATTTAAAATTCGGTGATATGATGAAACAAACCTCTGTAGAGTAAAAAAAGTAGATGTTAGTTCCATATTTTACTGGAAATATATTTTGGTCTGGCTTGACCCTCGTCAGTTCTTGAGATAGTTTCTGTCAAGAAGATTCCTCTACAAGGGTTTATTTGGATAAGATTTGTTTCTTTATTGAAATCTATGAATTTTTTGTCGATACTTTGTGAATATTTCTTCTTCAAACTTTTATTAACGAGAAAACTACAATTACAGTAATATAAAAAATGTTTAAAACATACATAAATATATTTGGAAATATGTATGAAATTGCTTATCGCAATTTACTCTCTATAAAGATTTATGAAATCAAAAATAAAAAAAGCCCTGTTCTGACAAATATAAGCTGGAAACTTTTTGACATATAGAGACAACTGCAATTGAAAAAAGCTAGAAGTACGGTCAGAAGCTTATTGTGTTCCGAAACTTTTATTGAATAGGACAGTAATCATCTTGGCAATTTAATTTCTTTGTGATTATGGTTATGAATATGGATATGAAAATGGATATGAAAATAGATATAAATAAATAATAAATATGGACATAGTAATGGATAAAAAATGTATATGAAGAGGATATTGTCGGTTTTTATTATTCATTTTATCTAGTGGGGGTGTGAAGGTGTTTGCTCACAAGGCACTCATGGCTTCTGTGTCGGAATCCATGAAGAACATTTTTAGGAAAATTGAAAATGAAATTATATATCAGGCCATTTCTTTGTGTCAACTCACATGATCCAAGGGAAGGTTTATAGCCGGTCAAAAAATAAATATTTTCGAGAAAAATGCGTCTTTTCTTATTTTTACAATAACAAATAGATTTTAATATTTAATTAAAATAGATTATCAAGTCCAATAGATGGCAACGTAGAATTTGTATACTACGTATACAATTTTGTGTTCTTTATTTTCTGTTTTTACACTTTTTTAAATCTTGGAAACAAGTCAACTAATTGGAGAAAATGCTGTTATCCTTGTTATATTCGACACTTGTGACGTCATTTTTTATTAGTCCATTTCTCTGTTGCCACCAATTGTACCTTACAATTTATTTGATTTAAACCAATTTAGTCCATTTATTTTCCTTTCAGCTAGAACATCGCGTCCCAACAAAGTATTATTATTATTATTATAAACAAATAAATTATAAACATTTTGAATTGGTAAAGATCGGATGTATGTACTCTGTGTTTGGATAGGAATAAAGAACCCCAAGTGGTAAGTTATATCTGTTTCTTGTTGATTAATTTTAAGCTTTTCTCGACTCTTTCTTGGTTCCTGATTAACCCAAGTCCAAAAATAGGAACAAGACATTAAACAAATTTATTTCACATTTTGTAATTGTAATTTGTGTTGTAATTCAAAGGTACGTCAATAAAATGTATTTTTCACTAAGATATAAAATGACTGCTTCAATTTAGGGGTTTATTGACTAAAAGTGTACGCAAAGCAACTAGTACAAGGATAGTACAAGCATAATTTCCACATTCAAACTAGAAATTAACCAAGTCAGATAATAAACGGATTTTCATCATTAGTTTTCAATTCTGTAAATTGATTTGTACTCGGGTATTCAAGTCCTTCTTGATTGTTGTGAATAATGTAATTTAGAAACCTACCTTAGAAATAAGACACAAGTTTGCCTCTGAAAAATTATTTGATGAAAATGTGTCACCCCTACCCTGACCCATTCCATGCCCAGGTACATCTGGACATTGAAGCCGGTCAGCTGAAGGATGTTCTCTGTATTCTCTACAAAGGAGAAGTTACAACTACGGATCCTAAATCTATATTTACTGTTCTCAACGTAATGGGTGAGTCAACTAGCACATAAGAAACAGATCTAAGGGTTCTCCGGTCAGGGGTATATATTTTTAAAAAGCAAACCATGGGTCAGGGTTAGCAAATGATTATTGATGCTCTGGGAAAAAAATTAAAAATTTGACTTAAAAAATTTTATTATACTTTTTACCCGCCATACTAAATTTATAAAATTAAGAGGATTTTTGAGGAAAAATACATCTTTTGGGTGCAGAAACATGAAAGTGACCACTTTGCTCTTACACATTTCAGTCTGTACTAGCAAAGTGCTCGGCGTTGCCCGTGGAATATAAAAAAAAATTGATAAAAAAGTTATCATTTTTTTAGCCTATTTAACCCTCAGGGTTCCCTTCAAAACGTCTGCCCATTTGGCTCATTTTAGGCTCATTTTAGAAAAAACCCAATTATCTATTATGAATTATTTCTAGGAATTGATCTAGGGAATATTGAGATGTTGAAACTAAACAAAGATGGAGTGAAGGAATCAATAGGAATATATCATCTAAAGTAGAATTTATTTATTTTTAAACCCACTCTTTGGGGTCATGTTTCAGGCCCAGTATGGGATCTGAGGCCGAATTTAAAGAATTTGAGCCGCGGCGCGGCTTGAATTTGAGACGCAGCCCAAATATGGTTGGTTCCTCTTAAAATTGTATTCAATGTATCAAGATTTTAGCTGGCTCTCGAAATTGAAACCGGTGTTTAGTGGATTTGAGACGCGGCTCAAATTCATTAAATTCGGACTCTTTTTGATTTTAATTTACAGCAGATAGAACTTTTTGGTCGATTTAGAGGAGATTGTGTGATTTTAAATACAACAAGTGATATTTTCTCAATTCTTTAACATTAAATGGGATAAAAAAGCCTTTTGTAAAGTTTCGTTGAAGATTTTCACCCCTGGAAGCTTAGAAAGCGTGTAGGCCCCTGTAATTCTTATAGAATTTGCTGATACCAAGGTGAATCAATAAAAGATCTTATAATAGTTCTTTTTTACTAATTAATAATTGTTTTTAGATTCAGCTATTTTTATCCTTTTTTTTACAATTACAAAGATAAAACAACGAAAATTTTCTCAAATATTTTTTCCAAAAAACAACAAAAATTATCTTTTAATCCGTGGTGGTCGGTTCCCTTACTGATCTAGTTATTATTCTTTACTCTCCCCCCCCCCACACACTTTTACCCATGTCAGGTCCCACACAAAAAATTGGCTTATTTCTTTTGTTCTTTTCGATTTTTATTAGATAGGAATCGAACTAACCTATTTAGTGAGAAAACCCTTTAAGATTACAGCATTTCGATGTGAAAATTATTGATAACTAACAAATATATTAATTTTTGATGATATTCACTTCAGACGAAGGGAAAAACCTCAAAAGATCATTAAAGAAGATTAATCACGGTAAATTTTTGCATAATTTTAGATATGCCTAATCGATTTCTGATGTTTCTAAATTGGCCCTCCTCTACTGAAGACGTCTTACATCTATAAAAAGCCAGAAAAATTATTTGAAAAAAAAGCATGTTCTAATGGGTAACAAAAGATGCGCTATAAAGTGCTATTTTCTTTTTTTTGTTGTAATTCATTTTTAAATTGTTTGATCGAACTCATTTTGCTGATATTTTAAAATCATGTTAAATGTTTTCTCTTAATTATTCTCGTGATTTAGGTAACGGGACTGAGGAGTCGGTAGGTTCCCCAGCCGCTAAAAAGAAGAAAGTTTCTGCTATTGAAGTTCAAGTCCAGATAGCCAAACTCTTGAAGGTAACATTGTAAATTCCAAATTCATTTTTTTACTTATTCATTAATTGTTACTATGCCTCCCATCCTCCTCATCTTTAAATACATTTTTTTTCACTCGGTACATGAACAATGTTTGCGCGGAGCAGATTTTCTTTTTATTGCTAAATTTTGGAGATGTATAATATAAAAAAAATTGGGGAAGTTTTATTTTTATTTTAATGGGACTATTGGGAATGCTAAAATTGTAAAATAAAAACCGTTTTTTTATTGAACACTTACAAAATTTTTTCTCAAAATCAGTATTTAAGATCTTAAGAGCTTTTCATATCAGATATTTTATTAGCCCTTTGTGTCATATTTGAAAAAATGTCATTATATTTGGTAAATGGATTGGATCCTCTTTTTAGCCCTTTATGTCAGATTTTGAGAAACAATTTCATCATATCTGGTCAATGGATTGGATCCTTTTTTTAGCCCTTTATGCCAGATTTTGAGAAACAATTTCATCATATTTGGTGAATGGATTGGATCCTCTTTTTAGCCCTTTATGTCATATTTTAAGAAATAATTTCATTATATTTGGTCAATGGATTGGATTTTAACCATAACAAGTATGTATCCGAACCTCCCAGAGGAAGGGTGTCAGCAGAGCTTTCTAAGCCTGTTGAGAAAAAGGGCGCTATGTGCGTTGTACTTGTATAGAAGTCTAGATATCAAGGACACTTCTCTCCACAACTGAGTGGAAAGCGTGACTAATTCCGAACAAGATAAAGTAATAAAGATGAATACAGAAGCAATACAGAAACTCAAAACATCAGGGATGAAGTACATGCTGATACAGGTTTTAAGGAACAGAGCCTTCAATAGACTTTAAATCAAATACCATAAACTGGTTTTTCACCCTCCTCACAATGGAAACTGGATTACTCATGGCAGACCTCTGACAATGATAGAAATGGATTGGATCCTCTTTTTAGCCCTTATGTCATATTTTGAGAAACAATTTCATTATATTTGGTGAATGGATTGGATCCTCTTTTTAGCCCTTAATGTCATATTTTAAGAAATAATTTCATTATATTTGGTGAATGGATTGGATCCTCTTTTTAGCCCTAATGTCATATTTTAAGAAACAATTTTATTATATTTTGTTTATGGATTGGATTTTAACCATAAAAAGTGGCAAACATGGCTTTAATTTGATTTGATCTAGGATCATCACTCTGTAACTTGTTTGATGGAGAACTGTGACGTAGAACTTACCCGAGAAAGCTTATCTGAACATATGCGCAAGCATTATCAGGTAATATAAACTTATACTAAGAACAAATATATGCTTAAAGAGACTGTAATCGTAATTTCAAGTGACCCTCCATGCAAAAATGTCCAATTCAAAGTGGTACCATTAAAAGCTATATCTGATCAAAGAAGGATTAAATATAAATTTTTCTGTTTTTGTGTTTATTTTCTTTGCTGGATCTCTGCGAAAGTCACTTGCGCATTTCTTGATTATAAAAAGTGAAGGCGAAATTATCCGAATAAAACATTTTCCGAGTCAAAAAACGCTACATTTTCTTCCACATTTTAGATTTCATTAAAATTTCACGGGTACCTAAGGAAATCAGGATTTTTCAACTTTATCCTGGAGGGTCACTTAAAATTACGCTTACAGTCCCTTTAACAAGTCATTCATACACTTTATAAATCATTCTTTCATAGTTTTTAAGAAAAAGTATTGAATTGGAGAAAATAAAAGAATTTTGGTGGTAAAAGTATTATTTTGGATAAAAAAACTTTAAAGTAAGAGTAGAGAGACTTTCTAACTGGCGTCCAATAAAAAAAAATTCTCCTTTTTTAGATAAAAACATTTTAGGACGCTGCGCGGCCCCTTTCTTATAAACAATTTTCGCAATTGTTTTTTAGAGATTCCCTATAATATGTTTATTATTTTACGGTTACTTGATTACTGATGAACCCAATGATGACGAAATAATATCCACCTCTGTATTTTCGTTTTCATACATTACATTTTACAGTATATATCACTAATCTCTTGTCACAAATCAGTTGATTCTTATTCTCATTGTTTGTTCTAGGATGAACAAGCAGCGCTGAAAAGAACATCTTTCGGATCTTGTTCTCTACCAGTTTCCAGACTTGGTAAACAAAAATTTATTATGGAAATGTTTTTTTTAAGATTCAGGGCAATTAATGCGAAAAGATTTTTTTAGACCCTGTGAAGGAGAAGATGATGGAGAGGATAAGAAATATGGAAATGGAAGGAGACTCAGATTCGGTATTTAACCATCCTTCTCAAATATATCTTTTTGGTGTTGTTGAACTTTCAAAAATGCTGATAAAATGGAAAATAATGCCACATGTATATGTATATGGGTTGCTTGTCGGTCTGACTGTTTGCTTATATCAAATAAACGTCAAAACAGCTGAACCGATCAGGACCAATTTTTTTGTGTGACCTCGCGTGACCCCAGGGATGGTTTATGGATGATAGAATTTTCTCAAATTTGCTTCTACCAAAATTCGATTGAAATTTTTGTTTTAAAATCCACGATCTTCTTTATAAAATCCACGAAATACTTGTTTTGATTTACAATTTACACAAAGAGAACTTGTTCCCAATTGAAGTAGAAGATGGGCGCAGCCTAGTTTTTCTAGATTTCAATAAATGTATGAAATATTGAATTAAGGTTTTGGTTATTATTAAGATGAACTGTATTAAAAAATAAAAAAAATAATGTTAGGATGATTCAAGTGCTGGTCCAGATCTACTTCCGAGGTCGCCAGGCTCATCTTTAAATACCCTCAAGGTATTTATTTTCTCCTTTTCTAACTTGAATTTTTGCGGAAATACATAGACGATTCTAGGGAAGGGGGGGGGGTGGAAATAAATAATATAAAGTAAAAATTTATGCCCAGAGGCTGAATTTACAGAATTCATGGTTGGTTCCAGTTAAAATTGTACTCAGTGTTTTGAGATTCGTGTCGGCGATCAATTGGAACCGGTTTTTGGACATTCAGCGACAAGCTTTAAACTCTTTAAATTAAAATTAAATTAACACAAGGCAAAATATATTTAATGTTATTGTAGAATGCAATCTTTGAACTAGAATGTTTCATATTTTAGCTCTAATAATTTCCATTTATAATATTGCTTATATAGTGTATATATATTTATTTCCTGAAAGGGAGTGTTCGCTAAAAATTTCAGGAAGTAAATGTTGACGTCGAATTGAAATCAATAACAATCACTACTAATTTTACTTTTATCTGTTGCGTTATAGGGGTGAAAATTTTTAAAAACAACTCATACCCATGAGCGTAGAATCTATTCAAATTCACGCAGTTGCGTTATTCCCACTCAGGTTCTAAATGATTGTTTTTACGGCTAGCGCGTATTTTCGAACATTCCTGGAAAATATGAAAATATCGTCTTCATTATCAAAAATCCTGAAAATTCAGGAATGTATATTTACAAATTTAACACTCAGATCAGATAAAATAAAAAATATAATGAAATATCAGCATTAATCATATGCATTGCAACAGATAGAAGTAAAATTAGTTGCGATCATAATCAATTCATTTTGATATCAGCCTTTAATTTTTAGCGAACACTCCCTTTAAAGGCTAGAATTTAAAATTACAGGAAAATGGTCCTGCGTCCATAAAACTCGGTCCAGCCTCCACCAAACCATGTCCAGCCTCCACCAAACCAGGTCCAGCCTCCACCAAACCAGGTCCAGCCTCCACCAAACCAGGTCCAGCCTCCATAAAACCAGGCCCAGCCTCAACCAAACCAGGTCCAGCCTCTACAAAACCAGGCCCAGTCTCCACTAAACCAGGCCCAGCCTCCACCAAACCAGGTCCAGCCTCCACCAAACCAGGTCCAGCCTCCACCAAACCAGGTCCAGCCTCCATAAAACCAGGCCCAGCCTCAACCAAACCAGGTCCAGCCTCTACAAAACCAGGCCCAGTCTCCACTAAACCAGGCCCAGCCTCCACCAAACCAGGGCCAGCCTCCACCAAACCAGGGCCAGCCTCCACCAAACCAGGGCCAGCCTCCACCAAACCAGGGCCAGCCTAAACCTGGTCCTGCTTCTATGAAGTCCAGGTCATCAACTACTCTGCCTGGTCCAGCATCTACCAAGCCTAGTCCTGTTGCTAGCAAACCTGGTCCTGCCTCTAGGAAGCCTAGGGCTTCCTTGCCTGGTCCAGCATTTACCAAACCCGGGACCGCCTCTTCACCCTCATCCTACGACTCTCCTCTTGCACCTCTCAGAAGTCCTTCCTTTGAACAGGAATCCAAGAGGAAGAAATCTGGTTCTTCCAGCTGCTCAACCAGTTCTTCATTACAAGATCTTTCTATAGTATCACCTAGTGTGCCACCAAAGATGGGAAAGAGTCCCGTCTCTATTCACAAGATAGAACCTGATCTTTTAGATCCATCCTCCCCACTCAAATCTACAACAAAACGATTTCGTTGCCAGCTCTGCACAAAAGGTGAAACTGATCAGATTGTTCTTGTTTTTTTCCAACTTATTTTTTTTTCTTTTTTCATTGACATTACTAAAACTTACCTGTTATTAGGATTTGAGAAGTTCTGCTCTCTGAAGACACACTACACTCTAAACCACTTCTGGGAGAAGTTAAAGAGTGATTTGGCATACCTTGGGAAAAGATGCAAAATTTGCACTTTGGTAAATATTACATCAGACAAAGAATTCGAACAACACTTACAGCACAATCAACATAAACTCCACAATCAACACTTACACCACTAACAACACTGACAACACTGACAACACTGACAACACTGACAACACTGACAATACTGACAACACTGACAACACTGACAACACTGACAACACTGACAACACTGTCAACACTGTCAACACTGTCAACACTGTCAACACTGTCAACATTGTCAACATTGTCAACACTAACAATACTTACAACAATTCGGGCAAGCTTATCCATTTCCCCGAAAATCAGTATTTTCCAAAATTCAGAGAGAGAGAAAAACCTTAAAAAAAAAATTTGACTTCTGGGGGGCGGGGGAAATTATTTCCTTAAAGGGGATGGGGGGGGGACTGATTTTTCAAGAACTCAACTCTTACAATGCAAGAAACCCAACTAAAACTACATAATCTATATTAGAATATTTAAGGAGTATCCAACTGATGATCATCTGGTCCAGCATATGGGAAACTTTCACAACTATGTAGACAAATATATTGATGTGGAGAAGGGACAGTTTGTGTTGAACGAGGAGAGAACTGTCAAGGTGTTCAGTAAATCCTGCGGAATCTGCAAACGATCAATCAGCTCAGGGGCAGAAGTAAAAGCTCATTTTTCTCGGGTACACTTTGGAGATCAGCTGAGACATGAGTTTTCCATAGAAAAGAAGTGTCCCAAGTGCTCAAAAGGATTTGAAAACTCAGCATCAGTACTCTCTCATGTTGGATCCTTTCATGATGAGGTATAGTAGATTGAGGAAAGACCCCCCCCCCCCCCGGGAAAAGAGATCACAGATTAGATTCCCTAAATTGTGTGTTTTTTATAACTAGCTTGGGAACCGAGCGTTGCCCAGGTTACTCATAGTTACTCCCGCCGTTTACCCGCACTTTCTCGTAAATTACGATTTTAGCTATTTTTCCGATAAAAGTCAATCCACTCCGTGGCTCTCCAGAGTTTCCCAATCAAAATTTGAGGCAAATTGGTTGAAGGGTTTCTGAGTTAAGATCAGACAAACAAACAAACAAACACCCAGACAGAGATTACAATTTACAAAAATAATCACATTGTGTACAAAACACATATGTTCCTTTCCAGCCATCAGCCAAACACTATAGAAAGGAAATATCCTTCACTCATTTTCATAAAAGCCCTTTTTTTGCTGCAGGCAATGTCAGGAATTGAGTGTGTAAACTGTAAATGTGAAACCATTTGGTGGATTTGCCTTTCCCATTTTCAAATTTATACAAGCCGACAGTTCTGAAAGTCTAAATTTGCTTAAGGTTCTGAAATATGCGGGAAGATATCTGATAATGTCTGAAGAAGACCGAGAATATATTCCTGTTGACGACTTTGATGATGGAACTGAAGGTGAAAAAACATTTATTGTTTTCGTCCTTATAGGACTATCTTTGTAATTTCAAGTGACCTTCTTTTTAAAGAGCATGTCCAATTTACAATGATAAGCTTTAAATCTATATCTGGTCAATATTGTAAAATATATTTTCAATAAAATGTGGAACTAATATCTACATTTTTACTCTTTAGAGGTTTGGTTCCATCACCATCACCGAATTTTAAATGATAATTATCTCCTGCCATCTTGATCACGCAAAGCTTTTAAAGTTACTGTAATGAATCAGACATCCCACCTAAAACTGAAGCTTAAAATCACATGAATAACTTTTGGGGAAAAACCGATTTTCAGTACAGGGAGTAAGATGTTTCTTAAGAATATACAGTACACAGTATACACCTTCTTTTCCATTTCTTTTCCATCATTATGTTGAATTTCTTATTCTTAATGAATTTGTTCGCATATTTCTTCAAATTCTTCAATTGTCGTCTTTTACATAAAAATTCAAGAAAATATTCGTGAACAATGAAACACGTGAACAATGAAACATTACAGAAACCAATAACTGAATAAGATTACTTATTTTCGATAATAATAGCTAATTTTTATTTTCTGAACCTGTTCCTAAGCAACTGATTAGTTTGCTGTAGAATTTTACTACATTTTTCGTCGTCGTTATTGAAAAATTTTTTAAACCCCGATTCTTAAAATAAGCCCTCAAAAATGAACAATCTATGAGGATTTGAATTTGCACTTTTACTGAACAAAGTCCTAAAAAATGTATCCACAATACTACTTCCTCAGTTCAACTACCATAATTTGCCAGTCACTACCTTTAAGAAAAGTTTAGGTAAACTATAATATCCATGTTATCATCCTTGCCTGAATTACCTTTAAGTTTTAAAATCAACTTGAGTGTCACCACATTTTTGGGAATCTTAATAAAATGTGTGCATTTTTAAGACCTAATTTTTTTGTGTTTTTTGATTATATGGATTTTAAAAACAAAATAAGGCTTTAAAATGTTAGTGTGTAATGACGCCAAAAGCTCACACAATATTAGGATAGCCATTCAAGGTTATTAAGTATAACTATATTTGAACCGAAATTAGGTTTAAATGCTGAAAGGTTTTTTTTCTGATTTGATTTAATATTCTAGGTGTACCCTACCAGGAGGAGGAGGAACTAGTTGGCCGTCTTGTCCATCCTTGTGGTCTCTGTCCCCTCAAGTATGAAAGACCAATGCTTAAACTTCATTACATGAAGTCTCATTATCAGGTTTGTGTTTGGGAAAGTGACTCTTCTTGTGTAGGGGGGGGGGGTGTCACCAATATTGAGTTTACACCATAAACCTCTTATTCATGTCATAAAAGGCTCGGTCGCTTAAGCATTTTTTCGAGAAAAGTTCCGGTCATATAAATGGTGCTTTGAAGTTTTAAAAACCGATGGAAAACTGGTCATTTCCGTGATAAGGTGAAAATAATTGTGCCGACTAAAGTGAAATGAGTTCCTTGTGCTAAATTACCTATAATTCAACATAAAACATGCAAACCTGTGCTAAGTTGACCCATAAGGTAACAGCTGGCTACCAGCAACACGGTCAGAATGCTCAAATATTTAATGTGACATCTGAAATGAATTTCTGGTGCCCAATTACCAGTAAATTGACATAGAACTCGAAAAATATGTGGTTAGATGACCCAAAACGTTATAGCTGGCTACAAGCGCGCCGATCAGAGTGCTCAGACTACATTTTTGACCCAAGAAATAGAAACCCTGGGCTTAATTACCTAATTATCGACATATGACACTTAAAATTTGTGGCAAGATGACCCATAATGTAACATCTGGCTACTAGCGCGCTAATCAGAACGCTCCAATGTCTGTTTTGACCACAGAAATGAATTCCTCGTCCCAATTTACATGTAGTTTGATGTATTGCATTCTTCTGTTGTCTTGAAAAATGTTAAAATTGAAAAAGTTAAGAATCTCAAAATTTTCTAAATTGCGCGCGCTAGGAGATTTGAGGCTTCTTTGAGCAAAACTGTTCAGGGATTACATGTTTGAAAGCATCTTGAAGCAAATTCAAGTTCATTTAATGGTGTTGAGATTGCAAAATGCGGAAAAAGTAACATTTTCTACCAAAAATCGCGCGCGCGCGCACTTTTGCTCAGATTTTTATAAGCTGAATTTTGCAGTTACTTTACGTAATTTATAGTTCACATGCAAAAAATCAGCGTTCGACTACAATTCTAAGTTGTGATTAATAAACACTGTTTACATTTTCTGGAGAGTAATACGTTTTGTGCCACCCCCCTTTATAAAATATGATCTAAAGGAAAAACACACTTCAATTAAAAAAAAAGGGTTTTAATTTTTATCTCTAAAGATGCTTGTTCTATGTAATTCATGCCTAACAAGAATTATCAATTTTTTTTATAAACATTTATTGTTTAAGGATCATTTCCACGAATTCTACTCTGCTCTTACATGTGTCGTGTGTGGCTTAACATTTAAGGTAGAATTTTATATTATTTTCAGGGTGGCCAAAATGTACGGATTGTACGGATTGTTTTTTTTAACCCTAAAATTTTACGGATTGTACGGATTTGTTTTCAAATTGTACGGATTGTACGGATTTTTATCCTGGAAAATACATGTATCATGTACCCAGTATCATGTACCCAGTATCATGTACCCAGTATCATGTACCCAGTATCATGTACCCAGAATTATGTACCCAGTATCATGTACCCAGTATCCAGTATCCAGTATCCAGGATCCAGTTCCAGTATCCTGTATCCAGTATCCAGAATCCTGTATCATGTATTAAGTTCAATATCCTGTATCCTGTATCCAGTATTCATTCAATATCTTGTATCCTGTACCCAGTATCATGTACCCAGTATCATGTACCTAGTATCATGTACCCAGTATCCTGTACCCAGTATTCTGTACCCCTTATCATGTACCCAGAATCCAGTATCCTGTATCCTGTACCCAGTATCTTGTACNTGTATGAAGCCAATTTTTTACAGATTGATTCTTGCTGAAGAAGTTTAAACCCTCTTACATGAACTGAACACAAAAGACAATGAATGAAAAATTGAATTTTAATGTGTTTTTTTTCAAAAATTGGATTTTTTTCGAAAATTGTACTGATTGTACATATTTTTAAAAAAAATGTACGGATTTTTAAAAAAATGTACGGATTGGTTTAAAAAAATGTACGGATTGTACGGATTTTTAAAAAAAATTGTACGGATTGTACGGATTTTTTTCCGAAAATTGTTCGGATTGTACGGTTTTCTTCTGAAAATGTACGGATTTGTTCAAAAAAGTTTTGGCCACCCTGTATTTTTACCGTGTAATATGTCGGGGGAGGGGATAGGGAGGAACGTGGAAAGAGGGAAACGGGATAGCGAGGAAGTGGAAGAATGGAAGCGGGGAATGTAAAAATTGGAAGAGAAGGGTGGAATTAGGAATTGGAAGTGTAAGGGGATCGGAAGGAGAGGAAATCGGAAGAGGACAGGGCGTTGGAAGAGAAGGGGGGGGGGGGGAGGTTAGGTTGAAAAGTTTGATTGACTTCGAATACTATCTCGGAAATCCGATTAACCCACCAGCATCTGGTTAATTTTGAATATTTTCTAGGAAATCCGATTAACCCACCAGCATCTGGTTAATTTTGAATATTTTCTAGGAAATCCGATTAACCCACCAGCATCTGGTTAATTTTGAATATTTTCTAGGAAATCCGATTAACCCACCAGCATCTGGTTGGTGAACATGAATTTCTTCTGGAAACTGTTCTTGAGAAGGTAGGAAAGAAACTTCTGATATTCATGGTCATTGTAATTTTCTAGACATTTTTTCCATAGAAAATTAAATTTTTAATAAAGTGTCTGAACCCAACCGTTGAATTTAGATCAAAATAGATTTTAATTTCGTCTATTTAACCAAAACCACTATAAATAATGGACAAGGGTACTAAGCTGAAAACTTCAGAATTGGATACTCTTAATTCTGATCGCTTAATCTGAATATCTAATGTTGAACCTTTTGATCTTCTGTTTACAAATACAGATACGATGTTTATCGATTGGACTAATATCCGATTTTAGAGCATTTAAACAAATATAAATTACTTGGCTTTTAGGGTGCTTCGCGCCCATCTTCTATTTCAATTTTGAACATGTTCTCTTTATGTATATTGTAAAAAAAATTCGCGGATTTCATCAAAAAAATTTAAAATTTTACAAAAATATAAAAACTTTTGAACATTCATAAACCTTCCCTGGGGTCCCGCAAGGTGCCACAAAAAATGTGGACCCTATCGGTTCAGCCGTAATAATGTTTATTGGAAACAAACAAACAAGCAAACACACAAGCAACGTATATATATATATATAGAATAAACATTAATCCAAAACTTGCGTTCGTTCAATCGATCATTAGTCCAATTGATTCAAAACCACAAATGCGGGAAAATTAAAAACCGGGTTTCAAAAGTTAATGAGCGCATCTCCAATCTCTAGAAATTAATCTTAAGACTAAATTAGTCTTGAGATTAGCAAAAAGAGAGGATCACACATTCATTTCGGTATACACCATTCTAAAGTTTTCAGCTCTGATCATTCTAATATGTAGGATAACCTGAAGCTGCCAAGTCGCTGTAAGATGAAACTAAAAAATGAAGAACAAAAAAAGGGTGCGATAATTGAACTGTTTAGCAGAGTCCTTTTTTATAATTCTCTACAAATTCAGCTGTCATACAGAGAAATTTTTTAAAATTCGTGAAATGGAAAGGAAGAGAAACCGACAAATGACTTGTTTTAAGTAGACAAACTTAAATTTTAAAAATCACTTTAAAAAATGTACTTTTCAAAGAATGTTTTTTAAACATTGCTGAGAGAAGTTAAGTTCAATTAAAGTTCAATTTTTGCGGCCTTTAGATGCACCCTTCGAGATTCTTACCTGTCAGATCTGTTATGACTTCAAGGTATGTATTATCTGTATCATTTGGATTTAATTTTTACACAGGGACGGCTGGCTAGGGGAGGGTCTTGATCCTTGATCATTTTTTCGTTCTTAATAAAAGTCCAATTTGTGGTCTAAATTTTCTTTGAGAAAATTTACCTGCCTGAAAGCCTGATTTGATTTGATTTTTGATGGTGATAAAACTTTTGGAAACTTTCTTGATAACAATGTTGAGACAGGGGTATCCACCATATATAAAATGTTTTAATCTCTGTTTGATTGTCTGTTTGTCCGATCATAACCCAGGAAGCCCCGGACCGATTTGCCTCAAATTTTGATTGGGGAACTCGGGAGATTCACGGAAATGATCTTACCATGGTTTTGAGATTCTAAATCTAATGGGTCGACTTTAATAGCGAAAATTTAGTTTCCCGGTAAAATCGTTAAATGCGGGATAAACGGCGGGAGCAACTTAACTTTTAGTAACCTTGACAGCGTGGGTTTCCAAGCTAGTATAATTTATATTTAAAAAAAAAATAATTTCCCTTTCCATCACATAAAAATGATTTTCTCTACACATTTAATATGTATGTTTGGCCTTAATTTACTTAACTTGCGTTTTTCGCTGGATTGGGAAATTAAATGAATTTTTGGGTGAAAACATCTAAAATGGTTAAAAAACGTCTGCCAATTGATGACCAATTTTTCATTCATTCCCTCATTCAACCCCCCCCCCCCCCCCCCCCCCCCCCCCCCCCCCCGGGGGGGGGGGGCGAAGTTTCTTTCAAACTAATATTACTAAATTCAGCATTGCTAAGATAGCAATTATTCAGGGATATTATTCAGACATATTAAATAGTTTTGATTTGATTTTTGCATCTCCACATATCGTAGCCAGCTTATGCTCCTTTGATCTAATCCTTGTTTATTCATCACTAAAATTTTTCCCCCCAGCATTAGTATGTCAGAGCCCGAAATTAAAGAATTTGAGCCGTAGCTTAAATTTGAGCCGCGGCTCAAATATGTTTGGTTCCTCTTAAAATTGTATTCAATGTTATTTAAGCCGACGCTTAATTAAAACCGGTTATTGGCGGATTTGAGACGCGGCTTAAATATATTAAATTCGGACTCACAATAGTTATCTGTATCTTAACTACATCCCTTAGTATATAATCTAAAAATATAGACATTTGATTTTTGATTTTTATTGGTGGAAAAACCTGAAAACTTATTGTTTTGCAGAGGTTTGAGAGTGTGGTATCCCTCAAGAAGCATTACATGAAACATCTAAAACCCGACTTTCCGACAAAGTTTAAAAGTCTAGGTATTACAAATAAGATATCCATCACATCTTGATTGTACTTTGTCACCCTTCCATTACAAATTTTCTTTCCTTTTATCATTTATATTTTTACTTAATCATAAATTTACTTTAGACTGTAATTTCTGCAAAATGAAATTCCCTGAAATTGGTGCTAATCTTGCGCACATGGCTTTGAATCATTCTTCAGTTTTCCTGCTACCGTATATGGAGAAACGAGGTGAAGTAAATCAGCTCCTTTAACTTTTAAGAAAAACTTGATGAGACAAACTCCAGAAAAAAAACCTATCTTATGAAGAACTAACTCAATAACACATAAACTCTTGAAAGGACAAACTCATGAATGGACAAACTCCTGTTAAAAGACAAACTCATGAAAGGATAAACTCCTAAAAGGACAAACTCCTGTTTAAGAAAAATTCATGAAAAGACAAAGATATGTTAGAACAAACTCCTGAAGAGACAAATTTCTGAAGAGACATGTTTATGAAAGGACAAAGTCAATAAATAAGAAGCTTCTGAATCTACGAACTCCAGAAAATGACTTAAACCACTGAAAAATAAGCTTCTGAAAGACAAACTCTAGAAACTTTTGTTAGGACGGACTTAAAAAACACAAGTTTTTGATGAGACTGTCCCAACATCAGCTTCTAGAGTGAGTTAGACCACTTGCTGCCTATGGCGCTAAAGTAAGCAATTCCTAACATACACATATCTAAAATTTTGAATACTTCAGACTATGTTAGAATTCCTATGGCGTTGCAGGCTGCAAGCGGGCATAATGCTACAATTAGAATAAATAACAATAAACATTGTTAATACCAAGAATTTGTATTTAGGATTGTGGGTCAATGCACCGATAAAATATGTTCAGAACTGTAAAATTAAGAAAGTTGAAGTTAAGCTTACTAAGGCAAATAAGCTGGTTAAGCCGGATAAGGTAATGCATTTTTATGTATAATTTGGTGTAAGCGCAGATTATTAATTTATTTAGATATCTACTAAGTTTCTTGGATATCTACCAAGTATGTTTAATATCTACCAAGTATGTTTATTATCTACCAAGTATGTTTGGTATCTATTAAGTATGTTTACTATCTACCAAGTATGTTTACTATCTACCAAGTATGTTTGATATCTACCAAGTATGTCTGGTATCTATCAATTATGCTTGATATCTATCAAGTATGTTTGATATCTACCAAGTATGTCTGGTATCTATCAATTATGCTTGATATCTACCAAGTATGTTTGATATCTACCAAGTTTGTTGATATCTTCCAAGAATGTTTGGTATCTATCAAGTATGCTTGATATCTATCAAGTGTGTTTGATATCTACCAAGTATGTTTGATATCTACCAAGTATGTTTGGTATCTATTAATTATGTTTGGTATCTATTAAGTATGTTTACTATCTACCAAGTATGTTTGATATCTATTAAGTATGTTTACTATCTACCAAGTATGTTTACTATCTACCAAGTATGTTTGATATCTATCAAGTATGTTTGGTATCTATTAAGTATGTTTGGTATCTATTAAGTATGTTTACTATCTACCAAGTATATTTACTATTTACCAAGTATGTTTCATATCTATCAAGTATGTTGATATCTTCCAAGTATGTTTGGTATCTATCAAGTATGCTTGATATCTATCAAGTGTGTTTGATATCTACCAAGTATGTTTGATATCTACCAAGTATGTTTGATATCTACCAAGTATGTTTGATATCTACCAAGTATGTTTGATATCTACCAAGTATGTTTGATATCTACCAAGTATGTTTGATATCTACCAAGTATGTTTGATATCTACCAAGTATGTTTGATATCTACCAAGTATGTTTGATATCTACCAAGTATGTTTGATATCTACCAAGTATGTTTGATATCTACCAAGTATGTTTGATATCTACCAAGTATGTTTGATATCTACCAAGTATGTTTGATATCTACCAAGTATGTTTGATATCTACCAAGTATGTTTGATATCTACCAAGTATGTTTGATATCTACCAAGTATGTTTGATATCTACCAAGTATGTTTGATATCTACCAAGTATGTTTGATATCTACCAAGTATGTTTGATATCTACCAAGTATGTTTGATATCTACCAAGTATGTTTGATATCTACCAAGTATGTTTGATATCTACCAAGTATGTTTGATATCTACCAAGTATGTTTGATATCTACCAAGTTTGTTGATATCTTCCAAGAATGTTTGGTATCTATCAAGTATGCTTGATATCTATCAAGTGTGTTTGATATCTTCCAAGTATGTTTGATATCTACCAAGTTTGTTGATATCTACCAAGTATGTCTGGTATCTATCAATTATGCTTGATATCTACCAAGTATGTTTGATATCTACCAAGTTTGTTGATATCTTTCAAGATTGTTTGATATATACCAAGTATGTTTGATATCTACCAAGTATGTCTGGTATCTATCAAGTATGCTTGATATCTATCAATTGTGTTTGATTATTTGATATCTACCAAGTATGTCTGATATCTACCAAGTATGTTTGGTATCTATTAAGTATGTTTACTATCTACCAAGTATATTTACTATTTACCAAGTATGTTTCATATCTATCAAGTATGTTGATATCTTCCAAGTATGTTTGGTATCTATCAAGTATGCTTGATATCTATCAAGTGTGTTTGATATCTACCAAGTATGTTTGATATCTACCAAGTATGTTTGGTATCTATTAAGTATGTTTACTATCTACCAAGTATGTTTTGTATCTATTAAGTATGTTTGATATCTACCAAGTATGTTTCATATCTACCAAGTTTGTTGATATCTTCCAAGTATGTTTGGTATCTACCAAGTATGTTTGATATCTACCAAGTATGTTTGGTATCTATTAAGTATGTTTACTATCTACCAAGTATGTTCACTATCTACCAAGTATGTTTGATATCTACCAAGTATGTCTGGTATCTATCAATTATGCTTGATATCTATCAAGTATGTTTGATATCTACCAAGTATGTTTGATATCTACCAAGTTTGTTGATATCTTCCAAGTATGTTTGGTATCTATCAAGTATGTTTAATATCTAACAAGTATGTTTGATATCTACCAAGTATGTTTGATATCTAAAAGTATGTTTGATATCTACTGTTTAAGGTCTACCCTAAACTCTGTCCTATCCCCAAGTGTCTGCAAAGCTGTGAAACCCGAGAAATCCTCGAAACCCATGTTCTCAAAAACCATTGCTGGAATAGTATAGAAAAAGATTATAGACAAGGTAGAATTTAGGGTAATTTCCTAGAGTACGATTTTTGGAAATTGTTAGGAGGGGGGGGGGTGTCCAAAAATCGTATACTAGGACGGACCTGAATTAAGAGTGATAAAAATGCTTATCCACCTTGCAAAAGTTCTAAACTTTTCTTTGATACATTTAAAAAAAGGATTTGATAATTTTTTCTTTGTAATTTTCAAACTAATTCAGATGTTTGTTTTTGTAAATCAAATCACTAAAGAACTTACTAAACCAAGAGTTTAGGGGGGTCTGTTGGCCTAGGGCTATAGAATACTACGGGTTCTGGTAACCCTGCACCCGGGTACGCTTGCATCCAGGGTTCAGTAATAGTACATGCCTTAAGCGGACTAAAAAGTCTACCCCTGGCGTGATTGATATGCATATTGTTAGTGAGTACTGATGGGTGGGATTGCCTGGAGCCAGGAACAACCCCAGCAATTTTCTTTAACTAAATAAATAAATGTAAGCTCAAGCCCACCCCCCCCCCAAAAAAAAAATCGTTTTGGGTTTAGAAACGTTAAATTCCTTTGATTTTAGGCTTAAATAAAAAAAATCTCAAAATATTAAAGACAGAAAAATGAACATTATTCAGCGGTTTAAGACGCATATTTTGATATCCACACCTTCATGTTTGTTAAAAATGAAAAATCGACTTCTATTATGATCTCTGTTAAATCGTTACATTATGGGATCAGTTTAAATTTTTTTTCAATTTTTTCTTTAATAAATGTTGCTTTTTATTTGCTAATTCACGACTTTTTGCGGGGGTGAAAAAGAAATTGACATTTTCGAAACACAAGTTTTTTTCTTCTCTTTTTTTCTCGAAATTTTTTAGTAAAAAACAATTAAATAAATCTGTTTAACTCTTCAATTAAACTAGATGCTGCAGATATTTAAAATTTTAGGATTTTAAATTCTAAACATTTTGAAACATTCTCTGTAAACCAAAAGTTAAACATAAAAACATTAAACATAAAACATAAAAACAAAAAAAAACATAAGAACATAAAATCATAAAATCATAAAAACATAAAAACAAAAAAACATAAAAACATAAAAACTTAAAGACATTAAGACATAGAAACAAATGACAATTAAGAAAGGAAAAATATTCAAATCGAAAGTGTAGTACAAAAGTTATTTATGACCAAAGTTTACTTAGAAGAAATGTTATTTATACCAAAACTTATACTTCCCATGTAATGTAAATTGAGACCAAAATGTTATTTTAGAAAAAATGTAAATTTAGACCACAGAAGTAAAAAATTCACTTTATTTATACCAACAGTTTCTTGGACAAAACGTTTTCATAGACAAATTGCACTTGGATAATATGAAACTATATTAGACAAAACTGAAGGTATACAAAATATTACTTAGATAAAAACTGTTCTTGAACACAGAACAGTTTATTGAAAACAAATAAACAGATATTTTCTTGAAATTTTCATCTTAAAATTGATCCTGTTTTTTTTTCAGAGTATAAACAAGACCGGAACAAATGTCCTATCTGCTCAAAGGTAAATTTAGAATTTTTATGATTTAAAATTGATAAGTTCTTGGAGGGGTGCAGAGCCGCCATGCGCCCTGCAAAATGGTTTCCAGATTAGTATTTGAATTGACCTGGCGCTACCCCTAAACTTTAGAATCGATATTATGGAACTAAAAATAACATTTTTTAAAGAAAACATTTATCTTTAAATAGCTATGCTGTGTTTACTTGAATATCAAAAAACTAGTAAAACACTAGATATTTTTTCTAAAAATGTTATAATGTAGCCACTGGATTTTACTCCACTGACATTCTAAGCCGCTCTGAGCCCCAAAGTTTGAATTCTTTGGAGAGAAGCTCCTACACTAAACAGCGTGAGATTAATCTTCTAGAAGCTCTCTTTCCAGGCTGGGATACTGAGTGAATAGTTTTAAAACCCAATCTTCTCATGATCTCAGGAACAAATGGTCGGAGAACTCCAGTTGACGAGTCACACCACAGCTCAGACCTGAAGAAAGGAACAGAAACTACGTCAGGGCAGAGAGCTTGAACCTTTGGGCAGGACTGTTGAAGGGATGACATCTCTTGATAGGAAATTCCAGGAACTGTTGGCGAAGGAACAGCAACTACTGTAGAAACTATATCAGGAGGCAGAGCTTGGAAAGTGGGTGATGAATGAGATACAACTATTTCTGAGTACCGTCTAGAGAGAGCATCTGCAACCATGTTTTCTAAACCTGGAAGTCTGCATGGTGGACCAGGGCAATAAAGAAGGCATGAATTAAGGGTTTGTGGTCTAGCAAGAACCAGAAATGGGGGATAGCAGAATAAGCAGCTAGCAGCTCTCTATAAAAGGCGGAAATTCTTGATTCGACAGAGGAAAGTTTCCTGGAAAAGAAGTACAGAGAAGCCCAGGAACCTGCTATTTCTTGCTGGAGAACTGCTCCCACGTGGGAACCTGATGAATCAACAGAGATGGAGATTCTGGTGGTTGGATCAGTGTGAACCAGGGTGGAAACTTGGCAAGGACTGCTTTGGTGGCTTAGAAAAAGTCCAGCATGGATTGGGACCAAGTTAAGGACAAAACTTTTCCCATCAAAGCTTCAGTTAGGGGGAAAAGAAGAACTGCTGCACCTTGGATGAAACCTCTTTAGAAGTTGATAATTCCTAGAAAGCATTGTAAACCTTTTTTGTCAGAGGGTTGAGGAAATGGGTAGATCAGTGTGTTTGAACAAGGAAACACAACCTTCTGCTGAAACTCTCATCCCAAAAAAAAATACTTGTCTGTAATTATACTGATGTATGGGTATTGAAATTGCAGGGACGCGGTCGGAACCACTTTTGGGTATGTAGGCAAGTGTTATATTTTCCTTGATAATTTATCACGCCGTGGTTACCAAAATGTAACAACTCTATATTTGATAGAAGCAGAAAACGTTCTGTATATATATTGAATTCTGGAAGTACAAATTTGAATATTGCAGAAAATGATTTGGTTTGGTTTCTTGAATTTGAAGACCATCCTCTACATTACATTACTTCTGTAATATCTATTCTGAACAATAGGGGTAGCGCCAGGTTATTTTAGATACTCATCTAGGATTCTAAGGGCTCCAGACGAGGCTCATGGCGTCCCTGCACCCTCTCCCTAGTCCTAGACTAGAATTATGTGTGCACAATTTGAAAGAAATGGTAGAGAACTGAAATCATCCTTTAAAAAAAAAAGAACTAAAACTATATTTTTCAAAAGAGAAATTATATATCTTTCAAAGCAGAGCTAAGGTTTCGGCTACGTTGGATCAGCAACATTTTGGCTTTTGGGATCCGGATCTACTAAAATATCCACGGATCCAGATCAGATGGCCTAAATAATTATGAATTGTTCATTGCCTGGATCCTGAACCATAACTTGTCAGGAGTAATCCAGGAACCAGATTCGTATGAAAATTAAATGGATCCTAAGCACTGTTTTCTAGGGCCGCATATTTAAATTTTTCCCCCAGAACCCCCTGGGGTGGATAAAAGTTTTTTAAGAGGTTGGAGGGTATAAATGAAGAAAACAAGAAAAAAGTAGGGGAAAGGGAAAATGGAAGGTAAAAGTGAAAAAGAGGTGGGAGAGAGGAAAAAAGTAAAAAAAAAAAAGAAGGTGAAAATAGGGAATTTATTTTTTATCTCCTGGTTTTGGCTCACACAGACCACAGCAGAACCCTGTTTTGGAAAAAATATGACAGTTTTTCCTTCCAATGGAAAAGGGGTATAGTGAAGGAAAAAAAGAATAAGTTGAAAAAAGAAGGAATTTATTTTTATTCAACTTTTGGTTCACACAAGAAAATTAAGCAAAATAGGACAGGCTAGGGGGCCGAGCGCTGCGGCCACAGGTTAGGTTAAGTTAAGACACTTCCTGTCAGACCCATGTACAAAATTGATAGGAGGGGGGGGGGGTCCAAAAATTGTTCTCTAGGAATATACCTGAGTGGAAAGTAAGATATAATCGTTTTTCTGTCCAAGAAAATTTTTTATTTCAGACATTTTCCGTATTTGTCTCCGCTGCAAATAAATTCAGGGACTCTTTGAAAGGAACCAAAATAGAAAGTTTGAGAAAGAAAAACAATGACATCTTCATATTTTTTCTAAGATTAAGATTTTGAGGGTACCGTTGTGAATACTTATTTTCCATTGAATCAATAGAAATTACTTTGACAGTCCTTTTGATATTAAGGTACTGGGAGACCTAGGCATGCTTTCTGTGTTCATCAACCATCTAGCTTTCGACCATGATTTGATTTCCATGTACATCAAGATGGATGAACCCGGTCAACGTGATGGAAGCTCCAATGCCGCGAACGGTATTCAGGTGCAAGTGTCGAACAAGTCGATTTCACTTCCTCTGAGCGAAGAGTTGCCGGAGAGCCAATCATCCTTCCCGTCTCTAACTCCCTCTAGGTACAAACTATTTAGATTATCTTTGATTTACTTAATTGATTGAATTTTAGCCAAATTAAAATATCAAATATTTTTAAGATTTGATCCGGCCAAGGAAGATTTCATCAGCAAAATTCAGTAAGTTACGTTTTAACAATTAAAACTATTTAATTATTTATGTTAATAATGCATCTTGACCTGAAACCATTTTTCGCTCTTACATTTTTCATTTTGTAATAGAATTGTCTTCAGATTTCACAGATTTTTATTTTTATTAAAAATCCTTGGAAATCTGTTTTAAAAATGCAAAAGCCAAAAATGTTAATAACTGAACTAAGTCTCATCAATTGTAAACCACTACAAATCGTAAACCCACATTCCCTTCAAGAATTGTTACAGTTTTGATTTTGGTAGATGAAAAAAATCGTTATTTCGAGAGCATTTCTTTGGACTGGCCGTAGACCGTTCCTGGGGTTCATCAGGGGTGTCGGTGTGTAATGTATTATTTTACTTTGTTAACCTCTCTGTTTCTTCCTTGTTCGGTAGTACGCTACAGGGCCTAAAGGAGAGAAAACTGTTGGAGTTTTTATCGTAAAGTTTTGGGGAACATCATCTTAATTTTTAATTTTCCAGGAATCTAATTTAATGAATTTAAACTGCCAACCGATTCAAATTCTTCCTCAATTAACTTCGGTGGTTCAAATATGAACTGACAGCAGGTAGTTCATCAAGGTAGCTTAAATTCATTAAATTTGGTTCCAGGAAAGAAAATTCTATCTAAATTGAATCCCTTTCCCCTTTTTTTTTGAGAAACTTTAAGGAAAGAAGAAATAATTGAACCCTTTTCCAGTCTTTGATTTTATTTGCTAAACATATATCTTTTCCTAGTTGTCTGGTAGATTAATTTCTCTTTCTTGTTCCTTTAACCGTTCACACTTGCACTTTTTCACTTCGGTTTTTTTCTCTCTTCCATGTTCATTATAATTTTGATTTCCTCCTTCCCCCCCCCCACTTTACCCCATACAAACCAACAAACAAACAGGCAAAAAGTCTATAATATGTGTTTATGTTATTTTAGTAAATTTCTTACAAATTTTGATATTTTCTTGTTCAGAAATGCTTTGAACTCTGATGATGACGATGACAATGATGATTGCTGAGACGATGAAGATTACGATGATGACGAAGAAAGATGACAGAGATGACAATGATGAGAAGAAAGATGACGGAGATGACGAAGATGGGAAGAAAGATGGCGGGGACAAGTAAAAACGTAATAAAAGAAGAAGATGGAACAAGGGAAGATAATATCATGTTCGCGTACATTGTTAAAATGTCCTGGAGAATTATCAGTATTATGAAACCTGGCATTTAACTCATTGACCGTTTATTTTATGTAGATTTTTGTTATTCCTTTCTCTAGTTGCAAATGATAATTGTTGTGTAAAAGTTCTGATTCAGGTTAAAATATCATAACAATGTCATTGAAAGTAAACAGTAATCTTTCTCTGTTCACAGTACAGAACTCGATTATTTAAAAAACTCACCTTTTGATTATTATTCAGACTTTCGATGTAACTCGTATATTTGGTTTCTTGTTTCTGTAGCAGGGGATCTGAAAATGATTGAATGCAAGTTTCAGAAGAATGTCCCTGTTCCTGCTGGAGGAAGTAGCGTGCCTTGTTCTTTCATATACACTGGAAGAACAGCACACAACGAGATATTCCGCAGGTATTTTAGTATAATTTATCTTATCTTTAACTACATTTTTATTTCGGTATCAAACGTGTAAAGTTTATTTTATTCTGTCTAGTGTCCGGTTAATGTGATTAATGTGTCTATTTGGTCTAGTCTTAACCAATATTTGTACATCAGCTGGCAAGCCCCCCTCCCCTGGCTTACTGGATCTGTAAAAATATGCGAATCCACAGATCTGGATCCACGGCGCAAAATTTGAACCAAAAGCTTTTAAACAAATATATTTGCTTTTTCATCAGTAAATCGTAAAGAAATGTTCCAGCCCTGGATCCTAATCCTTTTTTAAGGCTTATCCAGGATCCGGATCCGAATTAAAATGGAATGGATCGTAAGCATTTTTTCCGGCCACTATTCAGTGAAGAAAAGCTATAAAAACGCTGCTTAAATACGACGAGAAGTTTTTTGTATGTTCTTTGGTTGTTTTCATGTATAAAAATTTACAAATTCTTTATTGTCTACATTTTAACCAACTATTCAATATTTTAATATTATCTAGAAAAGAGATAAACAATGAGAGTACTGGGGAGACACTTCAGGGTATCTCAAGATAATTGGTGAGTTAAATCTACTATTCATGATAAACTCTCAGCCTTTCAATAATATTTAATTCTTATCTAAGAAGCAGTGCTTAGGATCCGGATCCAAGGGGAAAAATATAAACCAAAAACAGCAACAAAAACGTGTTTACTCCCAAGACAAAAATCTGAACTTCTGAAAAAAAAAGCGAGATTATAATAAAAATTTCATCATTTCTGAATGGTTCATCAAGTTTTAGGATAAAAATAAGAGGAAAAAATAATACAAAAAAATAATACAAAAAATTTGAAATTATTTTTTGTTTAAAAAATTCAGTAAATTTAAAAGAAGTGACCACATCAAAATTAAATGAATCGATCCTAAGCACTGTTGATAAGTTTAAGAGGTTTAGATATTTCGATAATTTGCTCATATTTAAGGTTGGGCAAAATTCCGTTAACGAACCGCAAAAACTAATAGTTTTTAAAACGTCACCAAAACTGATTAGCCGTTTTTAAAAATTAACGAAACTGATTTGTTTTTATAAAACGGCAACATTTGTTCTTTTTTGCAAACTTATTGAAAAACGTTGGAACGTGCTCAACACTACTTTTATTTCGACAAAATAAATGATCATTGATCTTGTGCATATCTTACTCGTAACACAACGATCTATTACGCCAGGGAGGGAGTCCAGAGTTCCTCAAATAGTAAACTTAATTTGACATATAGTGCAAGTACGCTACTGCATTAAAAAACTCGATTTTTGGGGAAAATTTATCTATGTTACTTTGATTGATTGAGTAATATTATCTGCAAGAAGCGCCAACAAAAATTTTGCATTTTTCTTTTAATGGTAATCATGGACATGGAGAATGGAGATCAAGTCACTAAACGGGGATGTTTGTGTCCCCTAGATTCTAGGGGGTGGTAATTACCCATAAGATTCTAGGGGGGGGGTAACCCCAATACCCCCCCTTATTTACGCTACTGTGGGTTAATCACAGATTTGGTTCTTAAATGTTTCAAAAAAAATATTCTCTGGCAACGTATAGAACATACAGTTTACACTAACCAAGACGAAATATGCTTTTTAATCTTCAATGTTCGAAAATGTATCATCAAATATTAACTAATTATTCTAGATCAGTGCTCCATCGGTTCCGCTCAGAATGAAAGGGAGGGATTAAAGAGCTGAGGTATAATTTCCTTCATCAATAACTTTCTCAATTTTAGGAAACTAAAAATTTTAAATTGGTGTCCTGTCTATAAGCCGGGAATGTTACGTATCTTTAATAATCAAACTTTAATAAGAGCTTTAGTTTTTTAAAAGGCTTTTTTATTATAACCCATCCGTATAGATAGAATTTATATAAAAAAGTTTATATATTTTAACTCTTCCAACTGAAAATCTGGCCATAATAAGACCATATTGGTGTCCTATGCATAAGTCGGGATTCGGGAATCAAAGTCTAAATACTGTTAGAGTATGATTTTATACTGACCAATGAACTTAAAGCGGGGTAATTGTGTAGTGTGCAGCGTCTCTAACACTTGCACATAATCTGATCTCGTCCTTTAACCCTCTAGTGCATCCACAATATATACCCTTGTTCAGGCCTTGGGGACAAGAACGTTGAATTCTAATCTCAGCAGCCTTGCCAATGTAGCGGAGTTTGAAACCTGCAGCCTTACCAACCTAGTCGAGTCCGAAACCTGCAGCCTTACCAACCTAGTAAAGTCCGAAACCTGTAGCCTTACCAACCTAGTGGAGTCCGAAACCTGCAGCCTTACCAACCTAGAGGAGTCTGAAACCTGCAGCCTTACCAACCTAGTGGAGTCCGAAACCTGCAGCCTTACCAACCTAGTAAAGTCCAACCTGCAGCCTTACCAACCTAGTGGAGTCCGAAACCTGCAGCCTTATGAACCTAGTGGAATCCGAAACCTGCAGCCTTACCAACCTAGTGGAGTCCATAACCTGCAGCCTTACCAACCTAGTGGAGTCCGAAACCTGCAGCCTTACCAACCTAGTGGAGTCTGAAACCTGCAGCCTTACCAACCTCTATAAAACTTTAAACATTCTTTACATCTTTGATTTAAGCAATCCCCTTTTTGTAGTTCAAATTATATCTAGATAATTCAGATCTTAACAGTTTTAAAAAAAAGTTATTGTTTTAATCAAAGATTACAACAATACAAACTAAATTTACCCCAGAAATATTTCTCCCAGTATCTTCCTTTCTGCGTAAGAAATGTTTAAAGTTTTAGTATAAATCTCATAGTTATAAACCACTTTATGAGTAAATATATGTTTTTAATCATGACAATCAATAAATAAATCTAATCTTTAGTAAAATTCTTAAGCCAATACGTCAAAAAAATTGTTAACATTTTTCATTACACAAAAAAACCAAGATTTTAAAAAGCTGTTTTATACGGTGGAGGCTTGGTCTGCATAGTGGAGGCTCGGTCAGCTTAGTAAATCTGGGAAGCTCGTGTCTACATAACAGAGGCTCTTGGCGTCCAGGAGTTCTCTCCCTCACTAGACCCGACATTTGTATTACCTTTGTGCTGTTTCACAATGTAAAAAACTACAACCAAATTCTGCTATATCATGTGAAACAAAATTTACAAAAATATTTTCATAGTTTTTAGTATGCTTAACTGTTAATTTACAATACTCCCAATAATTAGGTGAAATATTGTTTGCACTAATGATTGATCGGACTAACGTTCATTTCATTCGCACTAACGATCGTTGTTAGTTCAATATTTTTAAATTCTAGCGGAATTCGGCTCATTTAATTCGCTTCATTGAACATATTTTAGGAGGAATGAAACAAAACTGGTTAATTGTACAGAAGAATATAATAAGGGGTATAAACGAAGTTAGTCCAAATTATCATATAATTGGTGCAAATGAACAATAAAATGAATTTAATCGAATTAAAATTAATTTCACCATTTTGCCCATGAATTACAATTATTTTAAGAAAAAAAAATTAGTCCGTTAAAAATGTTTTTTTTTTTTGTTGGAAATGTTCATTTGTACTATATTAACAGAAAATTATAAGTCCGTTTGAACAAATGTTTTTTTGGAAAATGGTTGGAAACGTTCAGTTTGCACTAATGTTCAATTGTACTGATATTTACAGAGAAAAACATTAGTCCGCTTTAACAAGTTTTTTTTTGCGATACATGTTAACGTGTGCACTAGCGTTTAATTGCTTAAATATTTAATGAAAAAAGATTAGTCCGTACGTTGTTGGAAATGTCATTTCCACTAATATCCAACATTTACAGTCTTTACACATATTTTTTGTTGGAAATGTTTATTTGCACTTAGATTCGTACAATTGCACTAATAATTACGGGGGGGGGGACCAAAAATCGTTCTCTAGGACAGACCCCCTACCCCTCCCTCCTGATTATCATTATCATGCTATTACTAGGATTAATATTATTATTCTTATTATTATTATCTCTGTGAATATTCTAAACATTACATAGTAAAATGGTTCCACATGGTAGAGGTAGAGGAATAAGAAGAGTTCAGGTAACATTTATAATAGAATGTTTCTTCGAATTATCATCTAATTAAGTTGAAAGATTTTTTATTTAATCGATTAATGTTTTTTTTTACAATTTTTACTATTTTGTTATTACTTAAATGAAGTGACTGGCTATGTAAGGTAGTTGAAAAGAATGGAAAACTTCTTTCGGATTCATTTCAGACATATTAAACTTTTTAAAGATCTGTAAATCCTGAGTTTGAGCGCAATTTCGACGTTCAAAACTCCTACTTTGGGGGTGAATACGTTTTCAGAATTGGGTTTTTAAAATTATTAAATAACGACGACAGTAAATGTAAAAAAGTTCTACAATAAACTACAGACGTCATGTATAGGAACATATTGAGAAAATATCAATTAATCTTATCATCGAAAATAAGTAATCTTGTTCAATTATTAGTTACTACTTTCTCATTATTCATCAAGATTTTCTGCAGATTTTCTAGAATTATTATTGAAAAGACGACATTTGAAGAATTTGAAAAAATTGCGAATAAATTCAAAGAAAAAAAGAAATTCAATATGATATTAAAAACGAAATAATTAATTCTAGCATTGATTTATTGACAAATTTTTTATGAGAAACATGTACCTAACCATCCAATTAGATTACTGTAAAATTTTTAATGTAGTTTTTCGTTGTCGTTATTTAACAAATAAAAAAACTATTTCTGAAAACGTATACACCCCCAAAGAAGGAGTTTTGAACGTCGAATTTGCAGCATACAGCAATTCTGAAAAGTTCGATGTAGAATTTTCTTGAATATATGACGTCCATAATAATTTACTTTTAAAATCTTTAAAATATGCAGTTATGCTAAAATGAATAAATTATAAATTTAACTAATATTGGACAAAGTATGAATGAATGAAATTTTCCGGAATAAAAACGGATTAAGATGGAACAACGACAGAATCTTCCTCTTTATTGGGCAGATTAAGAGTTTAAAGGGTACTGTGGTGAGTTGGGGCATGACCCTCTGTGATTGTAAGCTCGATTAAAATTACAATGACAATCTCTTTAAGGAGGATAAACCGGTCGGGTTGGTTCGATCAAACCTACAGGAAGGAAGAGGACAAGAGGACGGACGACTGGTTGATGATCCACGGTTCCATGATGATGTTCTCCGAAGTCCTCCAGGTGGGGAAGACTCCCCTATCCCGCCCAATTTCTCTACAGATGATCTGCTGCAGCTGCTGGAGGTGGGGCAGGATATGCGTAGAATCACGAGGTCTATCAAACACCTCTGCTCAACGGAACAAACCTTAAGGTAAAGCGCGTGCACGTAAACTTCTTCCAACAATTTTAAGAATTTAAACCGCGTCACTGAGTCGTCAAGAATCGGTTCTAATTGATCGCCGACTCAAAGCTCAAAACACTCAATAAAATTTCAAATGTAACCAAACAAATGAGAGCTTCGACTCAAATTCTTTAAATTCGGCCTCTGGGCTAAGACCAGGAAAAAATACTAATCCAGTCACAGAATTTCCCGCCGCGGCTTTTTTCCCCTTTTTAATTAAAACAGCTTACATCACAATAATAGTTAAAAAACATCTTAAAAACTTTTAACTTTAAAGTAATTTGCCATTTAATTTTTTTAATGCATTACTTAAAGTACTTGCAGTGGAACTAAAAGTCCAAAATATTAACAAAAAATACGAACAAAAAATAGCCAAAAATATGACATTTTTCTTTTCAAGTGAGGGAAAAGGAAAATAAATTATCAATGAGCTGGACTGGATTCTTTTAGTTATTTATAATGACCCGATCCCGATCCACATTCAACGAAATTATGAAAGAATGTTGAGCATTTTTTTTGCAATTTCTTTAAAGCCTGCAGTACCACCCAGTTGGCAAATTTTCGAAATCTGTTCTTTTTTATTTTGTCCTGTTTTTAGAGAGGTCGTCGATGAAATTCATGCAAGAAGCTCCCAAGATCTCAGTTTTGGTAAAAATGCTGCAAAAGCGTTCAGGTATGTAGTATTAATCAATCAATCAATCAACCAGACTTTTAAGAAAACTCTATGCACCACATCAAAATCTCAAATAGAAAGTTCCGAATATTAGTTAAAAATATAAATATGCATAGATTATTTATTTTGTATTTTATATATATTTTAAATATATTTTTCAGGACAAAAGTCAGGGAAATCCTACATAAATAGATATATTTTCTAAAAATAATGTCTCAGAACACATAGAAATTGTCCAGTCTCATCATAAATCACAAAGCTTATGCTTTTAAAATGACGATTGTGGGAAAAACCGGTCCCCCCCCCTGGCCCCCTAAAATACCCCACTGTGCGGGGGGGGGATTTTTCAAGAAAATATATGATCCTGAAAACTGGCAATTTAACCCATTTAGTCACGTAAGTCAGCTTGAGGTCTGTGGGATAAAGTTCCGTGATGTTGTTCTCCGGTGTATCCAGAACGATTTCAAGAGTAAGTATAAATATAATTTATTAGCTTGGACACACAGCTTTGACTGGAGATATGACATTTTTTTACCCATGCTAAGAACATACTCGTGGTTTTACCAAGTTACTCAATCAAGCGTTGAGGCAAATTGGCCAGGGGGTTTTAATCAGACAAACAATCCGACAAAAACATCTGTCTGAACATTTCTTAAAGAATAATAACAGGGTTTTAGGCTAGTTAATAGAAATGTGATCGTGAAGGAAGAATGGAAGGATCGATGGATGGAAGGTTATTTAAAGGGACTGTATGCATAATTTCAAGCGATCTTTTACTTAAGCGGGGCATCTCCGATTCTCCACGGTACCCTTTAAACCTTTGATGGATCAAGTATAACAGACTTTTCCTTTTAAATCTACAGAAACGCTTGAAGTTGTTGAACACTTTGTTTGAGAAATATTAATATTCACTTTCTAGACAGAGCGGAAAATAAATATTTGAAGAATGGGAATAAATATGACGTCTTCCGCGTTGAGTTCACACAGTACGCTAGCTTACACTCCAAGTTTACAGCTTTTTACAACCTCATTAACAAGACATATACACTGAGTTCTCTGTCCTTGATGATCAGTTAAAGATTTAAAAGGTCCTGTTGTGAATCGGAGATGTCCCTCTTTAAATGAAAGGTCATTTAAAATTACGCTTACAGTCCCTTTTAGAAGGTTTGAAGAAGGGAAGAAGGTTAAAGAATGGGAGGTTTTAGTGCGCTCACGATATATATACCTCGTGTTTTAATACCCAGTTTAGGTAAATCAGTGTTTATTGTATTTTTATGTTTAGATAGAGCGGAGCTAAGAGAGGGAGGAGAAGAAGGTTATCTGAGAGCAGTTAATCTACTTTGTGAAGTAATTATTTATATATACCTGTAAAACGCTAAAGAGGTATCTGGAAATATGAGCTAGTCAGATGTTGTTTTAAATATGAAATATTCTCAAAGTGAGAAAATTAGATTTATTTCACCCCCTTTTTTGATACCTTTAACTGATTCATCAAAAAAGAGTGAAGACAAATAAAGGTTTCAACAAAATGTTTACATCGGGAAATAAAAACTAAATTTCTTTTCCTCAAAAAAATTTGTTCTCAAAAAATGAATTCGGATCCAGATCCAGGTCCTAAACCTTGTAGTTCTTTTTTGACTTTTTAAACAAGTTTTTGACATAAAAAATTATATTAATTATCTTAAGCATTGGAAAAAAAATTAAATGTTAAAAAAACAAATTTATAATAATGATCATTTTTAGGTGTTCCACAATATGCGGTTAGCAGATGGAACAGTTATAAATATCCTTTCAGGAACGCAATAAAACAATTATACAAACTAGCGGAACAAATTTTTTTTTTCAATGCGAAAGTTCATTTTTAACAAAAAAAATTGTGCCCAATCGGTCTTATCGTTTTAAGGTTTATTGGGTCTGAACAAAAAATAGACTAGTCTTTTATATATTTTCTTTTTTAGAAGATTCAATTTTATGAAAAGGTAATGTTAAAAAGCAAACCGACAAATCTAGACATGCCACCGACCGCAACATCAATTTCGAAATTCGCATTTAAAAGGAATAAATAATAGGGTGTCCCATTTTTTACCCTAAAACCTGAAAGTTGTACCACAGAAACCTATGCAGATAATATTGTTCCTTTTGATGTCAGTTCTTAGAGGGAATTTTTTTTGAGCTAGATTGATGAGAAGTGCTCGTGCAAGCCTCATGTATTTTCAGATTTTAGGCCATACTCGTGCGATATGCAGTTATCATTTTCAATGAACTTCTTATGCAATTCTGATGTAGTTAGACGTTCAAATTGCTAAAATCGTTTGTAAATGAAGATTTGACATAGATATTTGATCAAATAACCTGCACTATTAAATTTGGGATATTTCAACCATTTTAACATAATATCCTACATGTTATTTGTAAGTGGTAGGGTATTTACCAAGGACGTATACTGTGTGATTGCAATTAACCTGTAAAGTAAATGCTATGTTAAATAACCTGTTATCAGGCATGATATAAATACCATTTATATATAATATATATACCATGTTTCAGATAACGGGGGTTTTATATTATAGTTTGTATCGTTTCAGATACTAAAATATTAGCTGCATTGGGTTCTGTGGTACAACTTTTAGGTTTTAGGGTGAAAAAGGGAATTGTCTTAAACTATTATTTTGTTGTGTTCAGTACCTATTCTTGAATATTTTTCCTCTTTACTGGCAACCCCTACCCTAGAGGCAGTCTCGCTCATTGCAACACAAACTCACGTAAGTAGATGATAATTAGATGTAAGCAAACTAAAGTAAACAGCTGATATTTAAATGGAAATATATTCTAGTACAATAGATGGCAACGTAGAATTTGTCACACTCAGTACAGCTGTATTCTGATGTCACAAGTGTTAATTCAGTTTTTGTGTCCGACAAAATTATTGATAATAGTATTAATTTTAGAAGTAAAATAAGTGCAATTTTACGTGTTCTTTATTTTCTGTTTTAAAACTTTTTAGTTTTTATTTAATCTTGGAAAACATGTCAACAAATATGTGAACATTTCGTTTTCCTTGTTATATTTGACACTTGTGACGTTGTGTATAAATTGGTCCATTTCTCTGTTGCCATCTATTGTACTTAATAATCTATTTGATTAAATGTAGTTTGACGACAAAATTGTCAAGATAATTAATAATTGAATGTAATCTGCTGACAAAAATGTCAAAAAATATAAATGTAATTGGAAATTTAAAACATTTGTAAATTTTTTATTAGATAATTGGGGAAGAAGTACAACGGAGTAAGCCGGATAAGTTCCAGGATTTCTTGCTCCGGATCCGGAAGCTAATTGTTGACCCGGATATACGGTTGGACGAGCAGGCTCGCTGCGGTCTACTTCATGTACTAGAATCCCACCTTCTCAGGTTGTAAATGTATTCATTTTATCTCTTGATCTATTGATTAATTTATTAATTGATTGATCGTAAAATGTATTGATTGATTGATTGACGAATTGAAAGATTCATAGATTGATTGATTTATTAATAAATTAATTATTTGATTGATCGATTGATGGATTAATAGTTTGATTGATTAATTGATTGATTTAACAATGGCATGATAGATTGAGATACATTTAAGATTGTAGCACATTGTAGCACATTGTAGCACATTGAAGCACATTGTAGCACATTGTAGCACATTGTAGCACACTGTAGCACATTGTAGCACATTGAAGCACATTGTAGCACATTGTAGCACATTGTAGCACACTGTAGCACATTGTAGCACATTGAAGCACATTGTAGCACAATAAAGCACATTGAAGCACATTATAGCACATAATAGCACATTCCTAAATAATTAATCAACATGAATTTTCTTTTTTAAGATGGCCGAGTGTTCTACCAGAGAAGGTTGGGGACTTCTACTCTAGTATTCTTGGGGATAGGGTTCTTTACAGACCAAACCTGTTCCCCATCCAACCTACTCATACTAGACCCAACAGTCAGGTACCTATCCTATCCAACCTACTCATACTAGACCTAACAGTCAGGTACCTAGTTCCTATCCAACCTACTCATACTAGACCTAACAGTCAAGTACCTAGTTCCTATCCAACCTACACATACTAGACCTAACAGTCAGGTACCTATCCTGTCCAACCTAATCATACTAGACCTAACACAGTCAGGTACCTATCCTATCCAACCTAATCATACTAGACCTAACAGTCAGGTACCTATCCAATCCAACCTACACATACTAGACCCAACAGTCAGGTACCGTAACCTAGTTCCTATCCAACCTACTCATACTAGACCCAACAGTCAGGTACCTAGTTCCTATCCAACCTACACATACTAGACCCAACAGTCAGGTACCTAGTTCCTATCCAACCTACTCATACTAGACCCAACAGTCAGGTACCAATCCTATCTAACCTACACATACTAGTACCTAGTTCCTATCCAACCTAATCATACTAGACCCAACAGTCAGGTACCTAGTTCCTTTCCAACCTACACATACTAGACCCAACAGTCAGGTACCTAGTTCCTATCCAACCTGCTCATACTAGACCAACAGTCAGGTACCTAGTTCCTATCCAACCTACTCATACTAGACCCAACAGTCAGGTACCTAGTTCCTATTCAACCTACTCATACTAGAACCAACAGTCAGGTACCTAGTTCCCATCCAACCTAATCATACTAGACCCAACAGTCAGGTACCTAGTTCCTATCCAACCTACTCATACTAGACCCAAAGATTAAAGGTCAATGTAATTTAAGATCCGTGTTTTTTGCCAAACCCAACCCAGTGTGGGGAAAGAGGATTGGCCCTGCTCCATTGTTCTATCTCATTAGAATTAAAAATAAATGCTTGAATTTTTCAGGATGGGTCACAGGGAGAGGAAGAGTTCCAAGGGCATAGACATGAAGATCAAGGGGTGAAAAGAAATGAGCATCTTGGAGACCCTAGAAGAAATGAGTTTTCAGTAGGTATGAGAAGAGATGATCAAACAGGATTTGGAATGGCGAGAGACAATCAGATGGGAGGAGGAATGAGGAGAGAAGAACATATGGGAGGAGGTATGAGGAGGGAGGACCATGAAATGAGAAGAAATGGATTAGAAGAAAATCCAGGAATGAGAAGGATTGCCCATGCTGATCCTATTCCCGGGACTACAAACTATTACAGACCCACAATGAACAATGGACCTGCTCCAAGAATATTTGATACTCCTCCCCCAAACATGATGCGAAACTTTGCTCCACCTCAGGGTGTCCTTCCACCTCAGCAGCAGTCCTGGAACCCTGCACTGCCAACAGGTCGATCAAGGTTTTCGGAAAATCCTCAGTTAAATGGAGTTGAACGCATTGCAGCAGACATGATGGCAATTCATATGCCTTCTATGTCACAGGTTTCACCACCGGTGAGAACAGGACGAAGCCATGGTTGGCAAGCAATGCCGCCTATTCTTCCTCCCTCTGGTCCACCACCCAATATTCCTACAGCAATTGTTCCACCTGGAGTACCACCTCACAACCGCCCAATCAGTGGTTACCAGGATCCAAGTTTAGGTAGAACTGCCTCTGGAATATGGAATACAACCCCGGCAAATCATTCCCCCGCCATCAACCCTCTCCCTACGAGGGATGTATTCCAGGCCCGACCTGGGGGCAGAGAACATTTTGATAATGCAGGGTACAATCGTCCTGGAGGATCAGGGCGAATAATTTCAGGGTCTCGTGGAGAACAAGGAGGAGGCAGTGGGAGCAACAGCTGGGGAAAACCTGAAGCTGAAGAATGGAACACAAGAGTAGGTTCTAATCCAGAACCGGGTCCAGGTAGACAAGGGTTTGATATCGGAACTTGGGAGAATCCAGCTGGAGGAGGAGGAGAAGAAGGAGGATCTGAGCATAGTAGTGGAGACCGGAAACCAACCTCCTGGTCAACTAATGATGGTACAAGCTCCTGGTCTACAGGTGATGATACCCAGTGGGGCACACAGATGCAAAGGGATCGGGGGCAAGGATCTGACCGCAGTGGGGGAGAACAAACTGTTGATATTGGACATTGGGGGGCACGGGAGTCATCTGTCGCCCCTGAGAAAGAACAGTGGGGTACAAGGGAAACTTATGCTACAAACGACAAGGGACAATGGGGGGCTGGTGATATCACCGCTGCCCCTGACAAAGGACAGTGGGGCATGGGTGAAACCTCATCTGCTCCTGAGTTGGGGAAATGGGGGATGGGAGAAACTCCAACTGCACCTGACAAGACTCAATGGGGACAATCTGACATCCCTGATGTAGGAAACTGGGGGACGGGAGGAACTTCAGGTGCCCCTGAAAAATCTCAATGGAGATCTACCGACACCTCTGAGAAGGTAGATTGGAGGAATGAGTCTGTAGACTCTGTCTCTCCAGGATGGAAGAAGGAACCTGTAAGCATGGGAAACTGGGCGGATGAGGTTCCAAGCCCTAGAAGTGACCAGGAGGAAAACCCAAATACCTCCTACGACGCTAGGAAAATTGTCTGGTAGAATTTGACATAGGGCGTTTTTACAGTTTAAACCCCTGCATAAATATTACACTCTGACATATCCCGCTAATGATGTTTAATTGTTGAATATAAGAAATGGATAAATTCTTACAAATCCTGAATTCAGGAAACGTAAACTTGTTATTTTAAATAGCTTAACCAAGAACAATAACTACTCTTAATTTTTTTTAGCCATTTACATTTTCTGCATTACACTGTCGTTCTTGTTATATCATATTCTGACTTGTATATATTATATACATATACACTACAGTCATAATTTGTATCTTTTCTATATCTCAATGTACTGAAAGTTGTATTTTTTATCACATTCCTGGTTAAATTTTAATTACGCGTATTTTTAAATTAAAAACTTTAACATTGAACCGCCTAACTTTAAATCTAAATACTAGTCCAAAAGTCAGTAATAATATATTTGTTTTTAAATAATTTCCATTTGATGCCTGTATTGATTCTCTAAAACCGATGCAGGAAGGAATAGTTGGGATTTGACAAAGAAGTTAAAAATCAATGCAAAAATATTTAATAAGTACTCCGCTTCTACTGTTTACTACAGTACATTAAATTAATCAATATTATTATGTACACAATATATACTTTCGTTTGTGCAGTACACCTATAGTACAGTTTACTGCCTGTATAAAAAAGATCTGAAACCTCGATAAAATGATTGTGTTAGACCAGTGTAAGGTCCTCGTTTAGTCGTATTTGTATCATTGCTGTTACTGTTATACTATCGTTTTTCACCCTTTAGTCAAATGTTCTTGTATTTTTTACATAATTAATATTGTCTTTTATATGCTTGTAATCTTAACCCATACACCATATTTATAATGTAAATCATTACTGCAAATTTAGTAATTTTATCCAACTAAGAAGTATCTCCAAAATTAGGTTTTAGGAGTGTATGTTTTCGAGAATTGATCAAATGATTTACTTTATTGGGTGAAAATGAGAAATCTTTTTAAAATTGCAGACTTTTTTTCTTTTAGATACACCATCCAAATTTGGTAGAACAAATATTTCCCGTGAAAGCCTACTCAAACAGTGGGTCGTAAACAGTATTTTAATGAGAGGGTGTTTAATAATGTTCAAATATATTTCCCTGGTAGGGTAATTTTCCGTTCCCCCCTATTTCCCAAACCAAGGTACTCCCCCCCCCCCTTATCTCCAAAGTGTGGTGGGTTGTCTTAATTTATTGCAATAATATAATGGAATATTTGTACTCATGTAAGCTGAATTTCTCTAAGAATTTTCATTCTCGCGTTAATTTTGCTTCATTTTTTATCATCAAAATTTCAGCGTTTGTTCTATGATATTGAAACTCACCTCCTTTCATGCTACTCAAATTTTTGATGTCGTCTATTTCATTGACTTAAACCTCTAAATCTTTGATTGTGAAAAAAATGGTCATCTTCAAAGTTTAGGGGAAATTCAGCCAAAATATTATTCTTTAACGGCTTTGTTCATATTATTGTTGCGGGCCCGACTTCAACTATTTGATGTTTCTTATTTTCAATTCTACCCGTGTGTGTTTGTTAAAGTAGTTGATGTGGTTTATATATCATGCATATTATATATTAACAATTGAAACTATCGCGCAATTTTAGATAATTACCATTTAGCATTTATAATTTGAATTTGCACTCTTTCTCAAGACATTTGCCTTATACATACATTTTACGATTGATTTTGCTCAAATATCCAAAGAAAGCAATTAAGGGCATTTTATAATTCGCTTTACCCTTTTTATTTGTTCTTGTTCTATTTAACTTTTTAGTTTTTACTTTTACTTCATTTTTTAACGTAATTTTTGGCCGTATTTACATGGTTAAATAGTCGATTGATTTTAAGATCTCCCTTGAATTTTATTAAATTATGATCAATTAGTTACTACCTTTGATTGATTATTGGTGTATTAGACAATTGAATCATTTATTGGAATAAATCGTACATCAATTAATCAAATAAGCTTATTAATTGGTCCTGATCAATTAGGTGCTTAAAAAAAAGAAATCAACGAATATAACCATATGCTTAATCTTAATCAATTTACGATTTTTTAATCTTGTTGAATTCCTGCTTGAAGAAATCAAAACTAATCAATTATTATCGTATTTTGTAAATGTGTAGAGTGTCGATTGATAAACCTAACCTGTACCATCTATAGTCGTACATTGTTTGCTGTATTTGTGCCAGGCAACATTTTTGATCTGTTTTTAAAATGGACTTTAAACGTGTTTTCAATTGACCTCCACGTAATGTCAGATTTACAACGGAGAGACTATTTGCTTTGTAACATCATCAAATACACTTGATTATTGCTTAAATGTCGTCTTCCTATTCAACATTTTTTTGGTTATCACTGTATTAAAACCGTCCTTCAGAGGCCGTTCCTTCCATAAACTATATTGGTCGACAACTTGACGTCTCCTAAATTGGTCGTCAAGTGTACGGAGAAATTATTTATCTATCAGATAAGAATTAAGCATGATACATCTAGCGACCAACATATCGTCCCACAAAGTACGTGAACTACACGACCACTGTCTGTAGAGAGAACGGGCTCAGAGAGTATAATTTTGAAATGATGCTGGAGACTCTTGAAAATGCTAAAAAAAAACTTTAAAAACGCTTAAAAATCGGATTAAATAGGAAGCCCCAGCACAATCTTTTTCTTGTACATGTGTAATTGACTAAACCTTGTACCATGTTGACTGTACATTGTACTCGTACAGTCAATACTTGTAATTCTCAATAAACGAGTTTTAAGTCTTTTTTCAATTTCAAACCTGTGCGAACTTTAGTTCCTTGGATTGATTTTCTTGAGTTTTCTGTTTTGGAAAAAAGGAGGTATGTAGACATACTTTGGTTCAGGTTCAGGAGGGGTGTGGGACACAGGGTGTCCCCATAAACATAGGAATCGAATAGGAATTCGTCTTAGAATTAGCGCTGTTATATCCTAATCTGAATGGTCTTGAAGTTTATGATAAAATTTGAACTTGATCAGGATCTGAAACTTATCATTTCAATGCTCTAAATCTTTGGTTTTTGGCCTTTGACCCATAGAATGCAATTGATTTATTAAAATAATCAACTGCGTAGTTAAGGAAGTGTCAGGGCCCGGGATGATAGTTCTCTACCTGTGTGCTCAGAACACTTACAACTGTTTACTAATATTGATATACTAAAGGTTAGGCCAGAATCAACTTATAATAAACAAATATGCAGTACGCTCTCGGTATAGTTTATGGCCTATAAAATTAGTAAAGGATTAGCGTTTATCATCACTCTATACACTATAACCTCGTTGGGAAGTGTAGAGTCGGGCGGGGACAGTAAACCCTAGAAATTACAACTTTATCTATGAAGTTCTAATATTAAAGGAGGGAATGCTAGCCACAATAATTCTTCGCCCAAGTCACATTTTCATATCTATAAAGCCAGATCCATAGTTTTAATCCTTGCTAATTTTTCTTTTAAACTACTTATTAGTGGAGTTTTAAAAATAGTTCAATTGAGCAAAAATAAAATATAAATATTCAGAATAGGTTATTTTATTCGCGGTAATTGTACATCAGACAAATATTTCTTATTCTAATGAAGTACCGTCTGCAAAGAATGTATGATCATATGGTAGGGCGGGCTGCGTCAGTTTTATCTCCCTTCTATTTCATACTCCTTCAGTGTGTGTCAGAAGTAAGTACCATAGCTAAATTGCAATTTTCAAATTAAGCTTAAACACTTCGGTATAGTGAAGATGAGATGAGCTATCTATTCTATTTTATCTAGAATTATAACATATAGTCCTTGAATCGGGACTATGTACAGTGGGCTACAAAGGGGAGTAGTCGAAGGACGTAGAGAGTAATACAGAACTATACAAAGGCATACATCATAATATATAGTCCTTGAATGGGGACTACAATAGGCTACATTTAGGAGACTTAATATAAAATAACAGCATTTTTCAAGCCATTGAGGGGGGGGGGGCTAAAATCGCCCGATAACTTGCCCCCTGTCTAAAATCCTGTTCACGCATCTTAATTAATCAAACACATTCTAACTATGAACTACAAATAGACTTTTCCAGCAATATCACAGGGTTTAACGTTTTAAACACATTTTTCCTGATCATTAATATATTTTTATTTATTTTTACATATTTTTTTTAATTTTCAAAAACTCACAAACATTTTTTACTTAAGAACATTTTGCACACCAGCTACTTAATATATCAGCTTTGTCATTTTTGTTCGGTTTGAAATATTAATTTAACAATAATTGTTTTTTGCCAATTAAAGTACAGGTTGTCTCACGAAACTTGAAACCATAGTAGCGTGACGACTTTAAGGTCGTCTTTGATCTTTGAATTTTTTTACGGAATTTATTCGTAAAACAGGTCTAGTCTTAAGCCCAACCTAGACTCGGGCTTTACTTTTAAAATTTCGCCTCTGATTTTAGACGTACAATTCTAGAGTTAACAGTCCCGAAATACCCCTGGTCTTGGCATTTTCAAAATGTGGTCTGCTTTTTTGCTTTTAATATTGCCTGAGATATGATTAATTTTATTCAGATTACGACAATTTTGGCTTTATTTGATCAAATTTAAATCTGAGCGGAATTCTCAATTTCTCTGGTAGTATTGACAGCACAAAAAAGGCAGACCATATTTTGGAAATCCCAGGACTAGGATAAATTTGTGATAATTGTTTCAAGAATCATACATGTGGTGAAATAAAGTTGACGACAAAATGTCTCAAATAAATTAAAAATTAAAGACGACTTTCAAATCGTCTTGCTACTGTCATGTTTCGCGGGACGTTTCTTATATCGTGATACTTATAAACATGCCTGTTTTTAAGAAAGTTTTGAGTGCTAGATTACGTGGGCCATCTAATATAGAGTTATTTTCTTAACTCTTAAACTCCAACAATAATAATTGGTACAATATTTTTTTAGAAAAAAATTTCTTTTCTAATTAAAAATTCGGAATTCTAGATTTTCTGATAATTGCAATAATTACTAAACAATTCAAGCAACTGTTAGGGTTTCAGCCATCCTTGCAGCAAATGGAGAGTATTATGTTTTTAATTACTCTTCTTCCTCCTCCTCTTCTTCTTCTTCTGTTTTTTCTCCTTCTTCTTCTTCTTCCTTTTCTTCTAAAAAGAATAATTTCCTGGCATTGAATTACATTCAGCATAGTGGTCGACGTTTATATCAATACAATGAAGACGACTTTTCCATTTTAGTTTTGATTTATAATAAGCTTTTATTTAATTTGTAAACTAATACAAAGCTGTTAGATGCAGCCTCTCGTTGTTACCATATTTATATGTATGGCTTCATGCTGTTTAAAAGTATTGTAGAAATAAAAAATTGAAATTGAAAGTCGTCTTCACTGTACTGATATATACGACGACGACTGTAGTGAACACACATAAAAAGTTTAAAACGTCAAAAAAAAGCATTAAAGCAAAGGATCTACCAACACGTTTTTCCCCATAGCCCAAATTTTGCCATGACGATTTTGTAATATTGGTATTTCTGGAAAAATACTGGACGTCCCAAAAATAAATGAATTGAGAGACGATCTTCACAATCATATCACAGGATTTTTTCCTTAACTGAGCACAGGTATTGTAGTAATTTATCTGCAGTTAAGACCGTTTATAATATAGAAAACCCCAGTCTTGAGGTTTTGAAAATCTACAGTCGAGTTCTTTAAAGTTTGTGAATTTATATAATTATACTAAAGAAATGATAGCTTTCAGGCGCCCTTGCTTATTTTACAGGGTTTTTGAAAATCTACAGTCGAGTTCTTTAAAGTTTGTGAATTTATATAATCATACTAAAGAAATGATAGCTTTAGGCGCCCTTGCAAATTTTACAGGGTGTCCCAATAAAGAAATTTGCGGTATTTTTTTTGTCGACAAGTAGTTGTATGAGTATGATTCTTGATTAAGATCAAAACACCTCCTAGTCCAGACCATTGCTCTACTAATTTCCTGAGACTAAATATTTATTTTTCTTAAATTTCAATTTAATGAAAGCAAAGATTGATAAATATTTCTGTTCATTTATAAGCTGCAGTAAGATCAAATTAAAGGGACTATAAGCGTACTTTAAAGTGACTGTCCATGTAAATATTCACAACGGTATTCTTAAAGGGAGTGTTCGCGAACAATGAAAGGGGGTATAAAAGGCTTGCGGCGAAAAATAAGCGCTTTTGATTGCTACTAATCATACTTTTATCTCTAGTATTCAACTTGGATCGTAAAAAATTAATTTAATTCCAAACAGATATTACAAACAATAATCATCGATATTTTTTTGACGTATTCGTTTTTATATGTATTTTTCATGATCTGAGAGTTACTTTTGAAAACATTTATTCCTGTTTCAAGGATTTTTGATAATGAAGACGACATTTTCATATTTTCCAAGAATGTCCGAAATTCCAGCGCCAACGAAATATTATTTCTAAAAAAACAAAATCAAAAGTTTAAACTTGAAATTACGCTTTCAGTCTCTATAACTGATCAAATTCAGGAATATTTATTGGCCTTAATTATTGGATAGGTATAAAGGATTGAAAACGATCTTTTAATCGTATGTCAACTGTCCGCCTTTTTTGGGACATCCTGTTGAATAACTGGTTTGGATTTTGGACTAGAGACAAGGGTCTAAATAGAAAATTTAAACTTTAGATATACATGGTATACCTTTCAAACCTTTAGATATACATGGTATACCTTTCAAACCTTTAGATATACATGGTATACCTTTCAAACCTTAGATATACATGGTATACCTTTCAAAACCTTTAGATATACATGGTATACCTTTCAAACCTTAGATATACATGGTATACCTTTCAAACCTTTAGATATACATGGTATACCTTTCAAACCTTAGATATACATGGTATACCTTTAAAACCTTTAGATATACATGGTATACCTTTCAAACCTTAGATATACATGGTATACCTTTCAAACCTTAGATATACATGGTATACCTTTCAAACCTTTTTTGATCAAAGATAAAAATACATTTGTTTTCTACAGTGGTCGGCGCTTGTATCAATACAATAAAGACAAATTTTCTTTTAAGTTTTAATTACTGAAAGCTTTTTTAAAGTTTATGAGTTACCAAATAAAAGCTGTTAATGGGGAGCTTCTCTTTGTTTTCCATTTTTATTCTGTTTGAAAGCTTGGTAGAAATCAAAATATAAATCTAAATTCATCTTCATTGTATTGATATATACGACGACGACTGTAGATGAAACTTTCCTCATTATTCGTGAATGGGTATGATTAGATTCAATCTATTCTATAAATGGAGAGCACTTGAAATGTCTAACTCTACATCTCCTTTAGGGAAGAATTAATTGAATGCAATTATTTATTTTTAAGCAAACCTTTTTCCTCCTCCTCCTCTTTTTCTTCGTCTTCCTTTTCTTCTTCTTCCTCTTCAACCTCCCCCTTTTCCTCCTCTTCCTCATCCTCCTTTTCCTCTTCTTCCTCATCCTCCTTTTCCTCTTCTGATTTTTCTCCTTTTTCGCCTTCCTCCCCTTCTGCCTCTAATTCTTCAATCTATAGAAAAACTAATTAATTTATTGGAAGAAATGCACTTTTTTCGATATTTAATTTATTTGATAATTCAACATACAGGGTGTTTCATGAGAATTGAGAGGCGACCAAGGTTTCCAAAGCAAGTGGATTTTACTAGCGCGCAATTGCAGGCGCCATAATTTCCGCGCAATTTTGCACAATTCTGCGCAATACGAGAACATTTGCTTTCATTTCTGCGCAACGGAATTCCAATTGGAAATCCTTGAGGCGACGTAATGACCGCCTTAGAAATAACGGGTTTTCGACGGTTATACTTTTTTCAAGCCCTTTCTTACCGTTTGTTAACGATTTCATTTAATTAACGGCGTTAACATTAGATATTTAAGAAATATTTTACGGGGCCAGCTGCAGTTAACAAGCAGTTCAAGATTATTTTATAAATTGCTGGACACATTTTGAAAACATCATTAAAACATTAAAACATTTTAAAAAACACAAAATTCTTTCATTTAATAAATAACGGGGGGATCAGTCTAAACATATTTCAGTGTCATCTCTCATCATAGACTCAGTCTAAACATATTTCAATGTCATCTCTCATCGTAGACTCAGTCTAAACATATTCTATAAGTGTCATCTCTCATCATAGACTCAGTCTAAACATATTTCAATGTCATCTCCGAGCATGGACTCAGTCTAAACATATTTAAATGTCATCTCCGAGCTAGCTTGAAAAGTGTTAAATTCTGACAATCTCTTTCAATGTTTATTCAGCAGAAATACGCAAGTCAATTATGCTGAGGAACCACAAGTGAAAATAATCAATTTTTCATGGCACCCTGTTCAGTCTCAGTTGGAGAAAACTTTAAGGGTACCGATGTTAATCGGATATATGCCAGTCTATAAATAAAAAGTTACTCGAAATTAGTTTATCACGTCACATGAGGTCCAACACAAAATTTGGGCCCGATCGGTTCAGCCGTTTTGACGTTTATTGGATACAAACAAACAAACACCCAGACACCCACCCAAGCTTAATTTATACATCGATACGCAGTTTTCTAAAATAAACGTAGTTTATACTTGCAAAAACTTGGTTCATTGTTTAGTTAGAATATTTATTGGTAACACACTTAAAGTTAATAATACTTATGTACTTAGCCCCAGGCCGACCCATTATATTTAAAGAAACCCGGTCAGATAATGAGTCTCCTTCCTCCAAACCCGCTCATTTTCCGACAGTGCAATTATAACACAGTGTGTCCCAAAAAAGACATGATTATCTCAAAACCTTTTGATCAAAGAGTAGATAAATTTAATCTATGTAAAAAACGTTGGTTGTTCTATTACTCAGAAATTGCAGTATCATCTTACACGGGCTGGGCTAAGGAGGCCTATAGTCTTACCGACACAACATGCTATATTCTTACAAGTTTTTGACTACCATCTAACGGCCACTTGTTGTATAATACACAAATTTTTTAATTTAAAAAAAATACTCCAAGTTTAAACATAAAACATAAAATTTATGAATGTAGTCTAGTCATGTATATAAATAAAGTGTTATACAGTTTACAGGAATAATGTAAACAAACTTAGTTCTGATCAGGCTAATCCAAAGATAAGAGAGCATGCAATATGTTTATACAACAGGTTCCATTGTGTACAAATGGAGTACATGACCAATTAGCATGATTAGCAGACATATTATGATCCTTTGGATAGGAATGGGAAACACAAAACCTTCCAAATAAAGTATTTCTTTTAAAATTGTAAAACTTAACCCCTGAAATGGGTATTATATGCGACAAGTGGCGGTTAGATGGCAGTCATAACAAAAATTGTAGGAATATAGCACACTAGCTGAATATATATATATATACGAATGTCTTGTTTTTGTAGCTAGATAAATATCCATAGAGAATAGAATATATATTAGAGTGGAATTTACTAGAAAAACGTGTAAAACGGCCATTTTGTTGTACTGTTTTCATACTGTAGGTGTACTTCACATATTTATATTTGGTCTCTGGAATATCATTTTATAGAAAATATAAAATTATTGTTAAAAGAAAACCAAATTATGAAATAGGCTGGTTTCATAATTGACCAATGATCATTTCACATAGACTCTATGCCTTCCCCTTTACAAACGATGATTTTCCGTTATAACTATAAATCAAATGATGTTTTTTATTCACCTAATTCATTATAAAGTTTATTTAACAGTTTAAAAAATTCGAAATTGAAATAAATGGTCTAGGGAACATACTGTATGAATGTACTCTACTGCATATAATTTGTGAACATTTACATGATTTGTACACTTTGAACTCCCTTTCAGGCTGAAAGGGACTGATTAAATTCATACCGAGAGATTCTTTTAATTCCTCTCGATATATTCTATTCTCTATGTAAATATCACAAGAAGGGGATTGTTCATTTAGTGTACCGTCCGGTTTTGCTTTCATAGTGTCTGTATGTGTACTGTACTGTACTGCTCGCTTTAGCAGGTTCATAGTCGGCCCGGTTCTTGAAATAAACCGGACTTTCCAGTCATAGCATTTCATTTCGGTATACGAGTATAGGCCTACTTAGCACAGCTGTAAAAGCCGATTAGCAGTCTTTATTATCTAGTCTGTGGGCTAAGCTTTGTTATTATTTTTTCTTGAAACTGCAGTACACTTTATGTGTAAACAAAACCAGGGGATTTTCTGCAGTTTTTATTAGTTCTTGAAATCCTTGCATTACTCAAATATAAATTTAATGAAAAGTTTGTACTATGGGACTGTGGTTAACGTTTGGGGCGTTTGGGGTTTGGGTGTGCCATTGACAAATAATGATTTTAAACAAACTAATGAAAAATTTAATAAAGGCAAGAAGTTTGATGAAAACTGAAAAAATGTTCTTCTGTCAAATATTGGCTATTTTTATAATTTTTCTTTCAAATTCTAAGCTAATATTAATCATATCATTATGTGAATGGTAATCAAAACTAAAAAAACTAAAAAGCTTCTACTTTTCCAAAGAATAGACATAAAATGCATTCTAAAAAGGGGGCAACAATAGAAGATGGTAAGGGGGGGGTATCGAGTCGCCCCTCCATTGTGATCTATATAAACATATAAACATCACTTTACCTCAATGGTTTCTACAATTGAAACAGAATCCGGTCCTGAGAGCCCAACAAAAACTCCATTATTATCTCTAGTAATATTTTTATTAGACTATATAATAGAAATTATATATTAGATAATATATTCTCAAACTGTTATTTTCCTACAGGCATTGTCCTAAGGGCAAATTCCCAAGTTACAATTTCCTCAGTGGCAGCTTACAAAAGTTAGGTGAGACCTTCTGTAGCAAGCTGCATTGGGGGGGGGGGGGCGAGTGCTGCGGCTAGGATGAGCTAGGGGGGTCCGAGCGCTGCGGCTAAGACGACTTGGGAAGTTGCACTTGCACATTTGGAAAGTTGCCACATGGAAAGTTGCCACTTGGTAAAGTACCCTTGGGGAATTCCCGCTTGTGAAAATACCTTTGTGAAATAACCTAATATACAAATTTCAATTTCTTGGTTGAGATCTTTAAAAAAGACATAAAAAAATGAAATATTATTTAATGTTTTCATAGTAACCCGCATTCTTGGCCCCTAACCAATCCACTTTATAAAATTTACCATGTAGAGCCAATTTTTTAAGTCCACAATTACTAGTGAACAGCGTACTAATCTTAATATTAATATCAATCCATTTAAAAAAGATACCAGGAGCAATTCACTTATAAATTTTAAATTGATGATTAATCCAGTTTTTAATAAATGAAGATCAATCCCTGCTCCCTGAATATTTTGAACCTGTATAATCTCTCCCTGACAGAAACTTTGTCAATTCTGATCCGTTTACTGTTATTCAGTCCCATAGTTCTCTTCAATCTATCCGCTTTCAGCATTATATTCTCCTGAAATATCCGTCTTTAGCATTATATTCTCCTGAAATATCCGCCTTTAGCATTATATTCTCCTGAAATATCCGCCATAAGCATTATATTCTCCTGAAATATCCGCCTTTAGTATTATATTCTCCTGAAATATCCGCCTTTAGCATTATATTCCCCTGAAATATCCGCCTTTAGCATTATATTCTCCTGAAATATCCGCCTTTAGCATTATATTCTCCTGAAATATCCGCCTTTAGCATTATATTCTCTTGAAATATCCGCCTTTAGCATTATATTCTCCTGAAATAACCGCCGACAATATTATAGTCTTCTGAAATATCCACCCTCAGCATTATATTCTCCTAAGATATCCGCGTTTATCATTATATTCTTTTTAAATATTCCGCCTTAAGCCTTATATTCTCCTGAAATATCCGCCTTTAGTATTATATTCTCCTGAAATACCCACCTTTAGCCTTATATTCTCATGAAATATCCACCTTTAGCCTTATATTCTCACGAAATCTCCACCTTTTGCATTATACTCTCATGAAATATCCACCTTAAGCCTTAAATTCTCATGAAATATCTACCTTTAGCCTTATATTCTCATGAAATATCCACCTTTAGCATTATATTCTCCTGAAATATCCACCTTAAGCCTTATATTCTCATGAAATATCCGCCTTTAGCCTTATATTCTCCTGAAATATCCACCTTTAGCATTATATTCTCCTGAAATATACGCCTTTAGCATTATATTCTCCTGAAATATCTGCCTTCAGCATTATATTCTCCTGAAATATCCGCTTTCAGCATTATATTCTCCTGAAATATCCACCTTTAGCCTTATATTCTCATGAAATATCCGCCTTAAGCATTATATTCCTGACGTATCTGAATTTAGTATGTCCTGGTGCTAATGTTTAAAATAAATATTTGCAAAAGCGTCCGTTTATTGCAAATTGCAACCAAATCCCGGTTTAAACATTACAGGAAGCTGTCACTTAAAAAGACTGCAGACTGATTGCGTATTTTCAAATAATAGGTAACAATAAAGAAGAGATCAAATAATAGGTAACAATAAAGAAGAGATTGTTGTATTTCTCTCTTGAACATTTCAAAATAAATTCAGAAAATGTTTGATCCGCAAGTTTTAGAGAAACAACAAGTGAAAATAAAATGACGTAAAGATCCTCAATATATTTTGTATGTTTGCCTGAATAAGAGAGATATCCATGGATAAGAATGCCAAACCAAACATGATGTAAGATACACTGATGCACATTATAACCTAAAATATGAAATTTAAAAAAATTTCTTTTCACAAAATTCCTACTCTTTCGTTTGTTCCTTACTTTTCTCATTGACATTATCGTATCATTTATCGTAATTATCAATACATTTCAATATATAAAACTAGTTTTTATTGTTATTTTCATCATTTTAATATTTTACTAAATAAAAATATAAAAAACTTTACGACATTAAAAAAATGATCCAAATTGTTATTTTGCTTTATCTTTTTAATGATCTTTTTAGATTTTCTTTCAAAATAGTAATTATTTAAGTTTTTCTTTTATTTTAGCACTTATTTTGCTGGCGTCGCCCGTGGTGAAATTTCAAAAATTGTCCAAACCGAAAACAAACATTTTCACCGAAACTGTTAATCATGAGGGATATCCGTTGTTTCCCGGGGGGGGGGGGGGATTTTCTTCTAATATTTTCACTTATTCAAACAGTTTTTAAAGATGTATTGTTTTAATCTAAAAAATAAGTAATTTATCTTATTTTTAAAAATCATCAAAAATATTATGTTTTACCTTTCCCATGAACGAGACTTCAAAGTCCTGGAAACTTTTATCAGGAACCATATCTCCGAATCCAATAGTTGTTACAGTAATAAAACTAGAATAGTTGTTACAGTAATAAAAGTTGAATAGTTGCAACAGTAATAAAACTAGAATAGTTGTAACAGTAATAAAACTTGAATAGTTGCAACAGTAAAAAAACTAGAATAGTTGTAACAGTAATAAAACTAGAATAGTTACACCAGTAATAAAACTAGAATAGTTATAACAGTAAAAAACTATAATAGTTGTAACATTAATAAAACTAGAATAGTTGTTACAGTAATAAAACTAGAATAGTTGTAACAGTAATAGAACTAGAATAGTTTTAACAGTAATAAAACTAGAATAGTTGTAACAGTAATAAAACTAGAATAGTTGTAACAGTAATAAAACTAGAATAGTTGTAACAGTAATAAAACTAGAATAGTTGCAAAACTAGAATAGTTGCAACAGTAATAAAACTAAAAAAGTTGCAACAGTAATAAAACTAGAATAGTTGCAAAACTAGAATAGTTGCAACAGTAATAAAACTAGAATAGTTGTAACAGTAATAAAACTAGAATAGTTGTAATATTAATAAACTAGAATAGTTGTTACAGTAATAAAACTAGAATAGTTGTAACAGTAATAAAACTAGAATAGTCGTAACAGTAATAAAACTAGAATAGTTGTAACAGTAATAAAACTAGAATAGTTGTAACAGTAATAAAACTAGAATAGTTGTAACAGTAATAAAACTAGAATAGTTGNGTAATACCTAATTTCAAAAGCCATAATATTATTATGTCTGCTAGAGCTTATTTTATGAAAAGGGTAAAAGACTGTAAAGATGTGTCTTTAATGTCTCTACCGGAATTAAGGAACATTCCGGAAAATTGTACCGGAATTATAGAGCAGTTATTGTAAAGCAAAGGTTAAGTAATTTTCCTTTTAAAAAAAGAAATAATAAGGAAAAGGTTGTTTTATAAATCTAATATTTCTTTAGTGAATTTTCATACCTTTAATTCCACCATATTTTTATTTTTTATTGATATAAAAAAGTAATAATCATTAAACTTTTTTACCAAACCCTAATTTAGATTAAGCCCAAGGTGCATCGAAATGAAGGAATAAAGTCCCATTAATTTTGAATTACTATAATGTGAACAAGCTTAAATCTTTATCATTTCAAATTATTTTATCAAAGTTTTCATCACATTGCAAATATTTTTAAAAAATTTTTTCTATTGCAAAATTTTCTCTGCAATATAAAAAGCCAAATGAAAAATGAAAACGTATGATTTAATCGTTTTGAATAATATTTCTGGTTAATATATTTTGCCAGAAAGTTTTTTTTCCAAAATGTATTAGCAACACAAATCACAATATTTGACATGTCATTCTCAATGTTTTTTGAATGTCCTAGAAAAATTATTTTAAAAGTTCAAAACTAATAAAAAACTTTGGCTATCTGTACGTCTTAGGTATGTATACCAAGGGTAGGAGAAGAGATGGACACATCTCTACTTCTTAGGTATGGAAAGCCCCCCCCCCCTATATANCTCGAGATGGCTAGGGGCGGAAGATGACTTCTGCCCTCCCACACCCCCTGAATATGCAACTGTATCTAGGTCTAACCTAAAGTATGCAGCATCCATAAGGTCCCAGTCTTCTAGATAGTGGTACAGGAAGGACCCGGTGAGGAGGAGACATAATACTATCACCAGGAGGAGGACTACAGGGATCTCAATCTATAAATAGTATTGCACAGCTAGGGTTTCCAGCCAAATGGGGAAATCGTTTCGCGAAAATTTCTCTTTTTTTCGCTTGACAGATTTATGTGAATTTTTGGGAAAAACAGTAAAAAATTTCCTAATTTTTCGCGAGCGAAATCTTAGTATATATATTTTTTTCAAAAAATTCCGCATCGTTTTTGCTTCCTTCCGCAAAATTAATTTTCGTAAAAAAATGCGAAATTTCGCGAAAAAAAATGCAAATTTTTTTTTCGCTGGAAAGCCTAGATTCAGCACGTAAAACTTACAACCACAAAGTTCATTCTGTCTATATTTGAATATTTTCAGTAATATTTTGATCTCATTCAAAATCCGTTACAACGTAAGACACCTTGTACATACAGTGATAACCAGAAAAATCTGAAATAGGGAGTCGACTTTTAGACTCAAATTACGACTTCCAATAGTCCAATAAAACCGAAGCACAGTAAATGTCCAGTGTAAACAGACTCATTTCACTTTATAAGTAATTTAATAGCTATTTGCTTTGATATGGAACAACATTAAATGCACTTTATTTGATAAAAATCCACTTTAAAGTTAAACTGGATTTTTAATCAGAACCCTTAGTTAACCATGAAAGGGTGTGAATCGAATGACCATTTCAAGATCGTCAATTTGGAAAAAAAAATTTAGTATATTGATGCATGCTAATAAAAGCTGTAATGATCCGCAGAGGTGTACAATGTAGATGTAAAAACTATTTAAGATAGTAACATGTGTTACTCTCAAAATTGTCTAAAAACAAGAAATTCACTCTTTGCCAAAAATTTAGATATTCTTATTCCTATATCTTTGCAACCTAATGTTGTAAACATCGATTATTTGATCTAAAAGAATGCAAAATTTGAAATATCTATGCCTAGAACATTTAGTTGCAAGGATATATGTATTAGAAAATCATATTTGACTCAAATTATTTTAAGTACACTATTAAAATATATATATGGAGATACAAATTTGTGAATGAATCTTTATTTTTAACACTTGTTTTTTATTTTCATTTTAACACAATGTTTAAAAAAGAGCAGTGAATGTAATCTCTGGCTGTTAGTGCTGTGTTGTATCTTCTGTTTAACTGATCATACATCTGTCTTCTGTTCTTCTTTTGTAGATCTACACATTCTAATCCCATGTTGACAAGAGAAACATTATTCCTGGTTTTGTTTCTCCCAAATATTTTGCAGGATTGCCCAGAGCTGCAGCTCTCTTTTTAGCAATTTTATTTTTTCATATTCATTAATTTGATATCTTTGCGCCAGAAATACCAAATTAAGTATAATAGAAATTCACTGTTTGTGATCCATGGCGAGGTTTCAAATTTCTCTGCAAAGGTTTATTGTGGAATGCTTGCTGATTGCTGATGCAGCTATTTGATCCAAATTGTTCATATTTATTACATAAATTCTTAAAGGGTTGGCGAAAAAGTCACTGCTGAGCGAGGTTTGGAAATGTTTCGGATCTATTGCCAGAATTCCACCATTTTTATGACAAATGGGAAGTTAGGTTAGGTAAGGAGTGGATATTTTCAACAAACGAACTCTTGATTCTTGTTAGATTCATATCTGACAGATACTTGTAAATGGAACTGACATCTTGATGCTTACCCATAGAACCAGATTCTATCGAAAGAATTTACTTCTCTCCAAAGAGTTAAGGGGGGTATCAACATTCCAGTAGTTATCAAATCAAGCACCAATAAAAGACCGAAATAGTGAAACATTTCTATTGAACATTCAAAGTGAAACAAATAAAACGTTCTGGATTTTTTTCTTCCGAAAACCGGAAATTTCCGGAAAATTGTACCGGAATTAAGGAACATTCCGGAAAATTGTACCCAAAAATTCCGGTTTACGGAAAAATCGTTAAGGTTCCGAAAAAAACCAGTAAGTAATACTATCTACATAGTAATAGAATGTGCGCCTGGTTTAGCTGTAGAGTTAAAGTTATACTACTGTGAATTATCATGAAATATAAATCCTGATTATTTGATTTTGTTACCAAGCCAAAAGGTTATTAAAAATCACTTTTAAATAGGTCTGTATACAGAATAGTATACATTACGTAATTGCCGTGTCTCATGTTCATTGAACTATCTTAAGTCTTAACTTAAGTATACAAGTCCTCTTCCTATTCCAGAGTTTTCTGGTTCACACTCTATATGCTTTGTTCGTCTGTTTGTTTGTCCGTTTGTATCCAATAAACGTCAAAATAATTGAACCGACCGAGCCCATTTTTGAGGCAACTCATATTGCCCAAGGGAAGGTTTAAAACTGGTTAAAACATTAATGCGGGAAGAAAAGTCGAAATTTATTACTTTTTAACTCATAAATTTAAAGCCTACTCAGGGGCGGATCCAGCTTTTAAAAAAGGGGGGGTCAAAGTCTGAATAATATAGGGTATAGTACAGAGCGAAATGTAGTTAGCGAGGGGGGGTGGAGGGAGGCGTGGCCCCCGCAAATTTTTAAAAAGAAATAAGCATTAAAAGTGAGTATTTTAAGTGCTCAAAACAGAAAATTACTCTTATAGTATGTAAAAATATTTCTACCTTAGAGCTGCACTTACAATTTTTTTCACTCAGATATATTACTCTATAAAAAATATATTTCCATTTCCATTGGCATTACATAATTTCTTATTACAATTTTACATATTGTTTAGATTTAGATATTAACTGCAAATGGTTCAGGGTGTTTTTTCATGTGACTAATTAAGTTACAAGGAAGCGATTTCAAGATTGTAGATTTTAAATCTGTTCTTAACTCCTATTCTTTGTGGTTAGCCATGTAAACCTGTCAACTTTGTTGTGCATTTTAAAATTATTTTTTTTGTTAAAAAATGAAGATGAAGAAAATGAACCGTGAATATATTTAATTAAATTTTACTGGTATTTTTGTCTATAAAAGCTTTTAACACTTTTGTGGGTTTTACGGTTTCTAAGACGTCTCTATGTATGTTCATTGAGGCCAGACCATTAAATCTGTCATAGTTCATGCTAGCTTTTTGTTAAAGCATCGTCGACCCCTTGAACCCCATGGATCCGCGTCTGAGTCTAGTTTTTATAAACTCTTATTTATATGGTTCATTTCATCCTATCCTGATCAAATACGGAGGGGGGAGGGGCAAGGGGGGGGTCTAGCCTATTCGATGACCCTCTTGAAAAATAAAAACTAATTTGTCAAAAAATACTGTGGGGAAAGTGAAAACTGTAACTGTAAAATAGACATGATGAACTATATAGTAAAATATTTGTGAATATATAATTATAGAACTAAATGCGTATTTAATATATATTAACAAATAAGTTTTAACTTTTAATGTTTTAACATTGCAATTTCTATGTATACCATGTGTGTTAAAATTTCCGGTTTACAAAATGGAAACTGAAAATTTTACGGTTTCCATTCTGTAAACCGGAAAAATTTTCGGATTAGGTCACGTAAATCGTAAATATTCCGGTTTCCATTTGATCAGGGAATTCCGGTTTACGCAACAAATACCGAATCATTCCAAAACGGAAATTTAGTTCCGGAAAAATGGAAACCATAGGGATATCAGGATAGTGTGAATAAATGTTTATAATAATAATAATATACCTCTGAAGTTGGCATATACTCCTCTTCTCCAACTATATCATGAATCAGCTTCTTAGCTTTACGAGAGCTCTGCCCTAAACACCAGAGATATATTTAGTCCCAAATGTGGGCTTGATAAGTATTGTACAACAATAATTCTGAGATGAGATTTTAAAAGCTTAAACCCGAGTAAAACCCAAACTCGGGCTTAGATAGAACCCACGTCAGGATTGGTTCGGATTCGACCAATGAGAGACTGTTTTGCAAGCTTTCTCTCTGTAGCAGACAGAATGCAGTCAGATCAGCTCTGACAAGGAGATGTAAATTTCGAAAATCAAAAGTTTATGTAGATACATTATTTTCATAGTATGTTTATTATATATAATTAATAAAATTTGACACCACAAATAATTCCCGAGATTTTATATGTACAAATTTAAAAGATTTTACGAAATTTACGATCATCAGCTGCTGAAGACTCGAGCCTTAAAGAGAGAAAAAACCAAGATGGTTGGTTCTTACTAAACTCAAGGCCATCCAAAACCTGGGTCTTGACTTGAGCTTTACTTGGGTCTGAGCAGACGCAAAGACCGGGTTTTATTTGGGTTTAAGCTTTTAAAATCTCATCTCAGGTTTAAAGGAATTAATTCTTTGCCACAAACTATGATTTTCATGAATCCCTTTATCTGTGTAAACCAAGATGTCGTAAACCATAAATTTTTCAAACTTTGAATTCTGTGAGATAAAATGTTTGAAATTTAGATATTAAAGGTTTACACCACCCGGTTGCAAAGATTTTCTGATTAGAAAATGTGAGTTTGATTATGAGGTAAGAATTAGTAAAAAATAAATGCTAAAAACAAGACCAGGATGGTGCCATAGTGAAATCCATTATCGTTCAGTGCGCCACAAGTGCACACTGTGCAATGTGCATGAACGCTTATAGAAGACATTTTTGTTTGAAATTATCAACAACGCGCATGTATGAAATTTTTGCAATATCTAAAGTTCAAGGTCTTTAATGTTGGGGTTTCAACCATTTGGGAGGGGATTCGAAATAATGCGATAAAAACTTATTTAATTCGTAAAAAGCCTGTACTCATTTTTATTGTATTATTATTTTGGATATTTAACAGGCATTTTTTATTATCAAGGAATTGAGTCTTTGCCACTAACTCTGATTTTCTAACTTCTATATCTTTGCCATTAAACGTCGTAGACCTTTGATATTTCAAAATATTAATTCTGCTTGAAATATTTAAGATTTCCTTTTGCAATTACTGAAATTACAAATTTCTAAACCAAGTTAAGAATATTCCCGTTGTTCTACCAAGTTTCCCAATCAAATTTGAATCATATCTCGTGGAGGGGTTTACGAGATATGCTTTGACAAATTACAAACAGACAAACAGAGTTTACTACAGGGTGTCCCAAAAAACATGGGAATTCAGTGACGAATTTGATATCGTCTTTGTTATGAATTAGCATTGTAATACCTAATTTCAAAAGCCATAATATTATTATGTCTGCTAGAGCTTATTTTATGAAAAGGGTAAAAGACTGTAAAGATGTGTCTTTAATGTCTCCGCAAGATGAACAGTGAAGACAGACAAGTTTACTCTGTTTGTATACTGCAATTTTCTTGTTTTACTAAGTACAACTGTATGCCGTCAAAGCATAAACAAACAAAATGTAAACATAGCAGACGAAACTCTTACAGATTATAGCTTTCTCAGTAGGCATCACTACACTAAATCAAAGAATTATTTGAAAAGACGATATCGAATTCGTCACTGAATTCCCATGTTTTTTGGGACACCCTGTACTTCTAAATATGTATTTGCTTGTCTGGGTATCTGTCTGTTTGTGTGTGTCCAATAAACATAAAACTACCAAACCGATCGGGCCCAAATTTTGTTCAGAGTAAAAACAACTTCCATGTAACCCTGCACGTCTCCAAGTTCAGACCGGACCGGACTGATGATTAATGTGATTATGATTAATTAATTTGTGAGTTCCTACTTGAGATTGATTGATTTATTGAAAGTATAATATGTATATATATTTATGTTTATGTATATACTATATTGAGAACCCAGCCTGCTCAGAATACTCAGACTTACTCCCGTCGTTTACCCGCGCTTGGTTGTAAAATACGATTTTAATTATGTTTCCCTGTAAAAGTGGAGAAAATTTTAGGCAAATCGGTCAAGGGGTTCCTAAGTTATGATCGGACATACAAACGAACAAGTACACAAACAGAGATTACAACTTAATACATATATAGATTGAAGAACTAACCTGGGGGCCTCTCTGAAACTAATCGCCTAGCACGGCACCACCTGTAAACACAAATTACACATTAAAAGGACTGTGGACTTAATTTAAAGTGATTTATAACAGCAGTCCCGGTGCTGTGCCGGTACAAAAAGTGGGTAGCGTACAATTTCAAATATGCCGGAGTTTAGAGAACTTCAAACAATAACAGTTCACAAGATGCGGCGGACTAATTGTTTATAGTTTGTTACGTTCTGAAAGATAACATTTATATTAATGAACTTACGCTTTTTCATACTCGATGAGAGAGTTTTTCTATTTATTATGAAAGTAAAATTTAAAGTAAAAGGGAAAAGCCTCTGGAAACTAAATGATTTCAACCACAATGTTTAAATGATTACCAGTTGAATTTTTTTCCGTATTAGAACCAAATATAGATTTAATAATAATATGTTAGATAAATGTAGTGAACTTTTTTGTCAAGATGATAAAAGAAATTCAAAACCAGTAAGTTGGCTCTAATACATTGTATAACACTCTGACATTTAACCTTTCCTTTTGAATAATTTCAGTGTCCGTTGATTAATTGATTTAAACTCGCCTGCAGCAAAGACGACTATATCCCAATTTTAAGAGTTCTGCCATAACGGCACCAATATTTCCTAAATAAATCAATATAAAAATCTAGAAATACAATTTTTTATGCATTCCAAAACAATTGATTAAACTGAATTGGAAATTGTGCCAATCAATAACAATTGCGCAATATTGTCAAGGAATTACATGATTTAAATTTGGCCTAATTTGTGATAAGCTGTTTATTTAATTTATTTATGATGTAAAAAAAGAACTATATCTATAATAATAATATTTTGCTTAAGAAAAATTTCTAAAAGAAGGTTTAATAATTGGTATGCAGTAACATAATAAAACAGGAAGAACATCATTGCACGACGGAATGTTTTTTTTCTTTATTAATGCTAATTTAGAGCTATCATAAAAATGTTAAGCAAATTTTACTTTTTAAATGGTCCCAAGACTACAAAACATCCAAAGCGAAGGCCCTATTGGTCGAGGAAACACATGCATTAATTATGTAAATTTTTATAAGTAGTTGTACAAGTTGTAGACAAGATTCATTAACCCCAGTTGAGGGGTCCGTGTATAGAACTGAAAAAAACTTAAATACCACTTAAAATTGTTTTGGGAAAAATTATCGCCAAAATCCGCGAAATTAATCTTAATAGAAACCCTTCGTACTATTGTAAAGCTGTAGTTTTTCGTCCCAAGGACCAAGGAATATAAATAAACTTAAAACATCTCACTGTTAATTAAGGGAATCATTGGTCGATATAATTTTGGTTAAAGGTGGTAAACATTATAAGTTGTTTTACCTAAAAACACAAAAAGCAAAGGCATTCCAATCATAGTGTAAGGGATAGTTAGAAGTTTACCGAAAAAAGTCTGAAATAAGAAAAAAATGTATTAACCTTTTTGTCGGTCAAGCTTTAAACATTATATGATAATACAGTTAGGGATGTTAACGTTTTCATTTTTCAGAAAAACGATCGTTTCGTTATGATAACTACGACGAAAAAACGAAAACGAAACGATCGTTTTTAAAAACGATCGTTTTTTTAAAAAGTTCGGTTTTTAAAAATTGTCCTTTTTTTAATACGCTCGTTTTTAAAAACGATCGTTTTTATAAAATTCGTCGTTTCGTTAACGATCGTTAACAACGACCCTTCGTTAACGATCGTTAACGACAACCCTTCATTAACTATCGTAAACGACGACCCCTTCTTTAACGATCGTTAACGAAGAGAGGAAACCGACCTGAAGGGCATCTGTACTTATCATTGAGTAGTTTTTCAGAAAATATCAAGGAGTTTTAACTCCCCCACAACTGTTAAACTTCATGTAAGACGACATTCAATAAAGTTGCATGTTATTTTTTTTTCAAAAACAACCGTTTTGATAAAGTTCGTCGTTTCGCTAACGATCGTTTTTTTTTAAACAATCGTATAAAAAACGGTCGCAAATCGTTTTAATAAAAACGATCATTTTCAAAAACGATCGCTATTCGTTTTCTAAAAGTTCAAAACGATCGTTTTTTTTCCGAAAACGAAACGATCGTTTTTGAAAACGAAACAAAAAACGATCGTTTAACGATCGTTTAGAAAAACGATTAACAACCCTAAATACAGGATTTAATTTTGTTTCTGTGCTTTAGTGAAATGTTATTTTATATCTTTCATATTTTCAAATAATGTTGGACATTTTGTAAAAGGTATCATAGTAATCAACAATTGCCCTAACAAGACATCTGTTGCCCAAACTAAAAGTAATTAATCCTTAAAACAGATGATTCTGTCATTCATCAAGAACAGTTATTGTCGAGATATCTAAGAGAAATTAACTCTATTCTGGGGGGGGATCCCAGGGACCCCCCTGACGTTTTGTTTGAGATAAATCAGAAAGTGTTGGTCTGAGGCTGTTCAAATTTTTTGACTTTTCTAACTAACACATGCCCCTCACTTTAGGGTTTAAGCGGGGCTTTTTTACCAACTGACTGAGTCCTAAGGCATACTGCCATAGAGAATAGAATATATAGAGAGGAATTTACTGGAAAAAAGTGTAAAACGGCCATTTTGTTGTACTGTTTCCATACTGGAGGTGTACTTCACATATTTGTGCTATATAACCTGTTGGGCCCTGGAATATCATTTTATAGAAAATCTAAAATTATTGTTAAAAGAAAACCAAATTATGATATAGGCTGGTTTCATAATTGACCAATGATCATTTCACATAGACTCTATGCCTTCCACTTTACAAACGATGATTTTGCATATAATTTGTGAACATTTACATGATTTGTACACTTTGAACTCCCTTTCAGGCTGAAAGGGACTGAAAAAATTCATACCGAGAGATTCTTTTAATTCCTCTCTATATATTCTATTCTCTATGCATACTGCTGAATGCCTTATTTTACCTTTACCCAACTAAAACTATATTTAGACCTACTTTCGATCATTGAATTTCGACTTTTTATAGCTCTTTGGAAAGCCTCGACCAAAAGAAACCAGATTATACAATTTTTGCGAAAAAATGTTGCATGAAATTTTTGCACAGATGCCTTATAGAGAATTTGCACATTTTTAGTTTTTCTTAAATACAAACTTAGTATTTGAAAATTTGCAAATATTTTTGGATATTTGAATGAACCCGTGGCCATGTTTTTTAAAAATGAATAAATTATCATATTTTGTGCAATTTATGTTTTTACACATTTTTTTTTATAATAACTTGACATTGCAATAAATATTTGAAATTTTCCAAATTTGCTAATTTTGTGGCATATTATTAAAGTAGAGCCTAAGGGCTTTCCAAAAATGTATAAAGTTTTATAGATTTGTATCACAATGAGGAATTAGAGGGGTGGTCCCTGGGACCTCCCCCAGACTATTTTGGGTAAACCAAGCGTCAGCCTGAATAGCTGGTAAATCTGTTGAATATATGTATGTGCTGTCTAAAGGGATTAACGATATAAAAGTTCCCACCACTGGTGTTTTTACATAAATAGTATTAATAGATACCTTAGGGGTGATATTTCCATATCCAATAGTTGTCATTACAGAGATCGTGAAAACCAGAGTTTTTGGAATAGTCCAGTCATATTCCCAACCCTCAACCTTCACATAGGACAGTAATATCTCAGGTAAATATTGATGCAGGGTTGACACGTCCTGGCGTCTGAATAGTTCATACCATGATGCCACCACATTCATGCAAAATAGCACATTGGGTATATTTGCATTTCCATAATTACTGAGACCATGTTCTAACCAATGGACAGTCTAGGGTTTCCCTTTAGATGAATTAAAATTGATAAGCGAAAATTGCGCTTTTAGGCATTTCATTCGCTCGCAAAAAATGCGAAACTGTTTGTGTTTTTTTTTCTGTGAAATTTAGCTTCAAGCTGTTTCGCGAAAAAAATGCAAAATTTTCGTGAAAAAATGCGATAAAAATAATTATTCGAAAATTTCGCTAAAAAAAGTAAAAAATATGCAAAAAAAACCCCCCAAAAGTTTTTTCGTAAAAATACTATTTCTATTTCAAAGATTTGGCTGGCTCATGGCTAGCTGTGTTTGGGTGAACTTACATGGACGAACAGAAACTCAGAAAGATATCAAATTCTTTGCATCAAACATATATTGAAGTAAAGGAATTTATTAATTTCACAAGTTTTTCGCTCAATTAATTGTTGTGGTTAGAATACTTTTTTTGCAAAAATTTTGCATTTTATTGCTGAAAACGTATACACCCCCAAAGTAGGAGTTTGCGCTCAAACTCAGGAATTACAGATCTTTAAAAAGTTTGATATGTCTCAAATGAATCCGAAAGAAGTTTTCCACAACACTGCATACTCAGTTCAACTACAGTGAAACCCTTTATAATGAATACATCGAAAGAATTCATCAAATGTCGTATTCTTAACTTTCTGATAATGGAATGTTGCAGATATTTAGTTTTTTAATTAAATGATTATACGGAACTCTTTAAAACTGTTCCCGCATATTCATGGCTATTTATTTATTTTCGCAAATACTGAAATTTACGTAATATAGTATAAAACTCATTGAAAAATTGTCTAGACGACATTTGATAAATTCTTCCGAAGTATTCATTATTAAGGGTTTCACTGTACCTTACATTATAGCCGGTCACTCCCTTTAACTCGACTTTCTGTTTGCTGGGATGTCACGTAAGATTAAGGTCTTTTATTATTATCTTAAAGAGCTATTGAGATTAACGAAAGTGCTGTGAATTCCTAATATGTAACAATAGGATAAATTTGTCTTTCTTATATTTATGCAAAAAATTAAAACTAAAGGAGCTACGAAATCACAAAGTTGCAGCACAAACGTTGCATAAATTTTACTGTTTACTTCTTGAGATGCTAACCTGCCCATCATAATTGTTTTTGTCTAAAGCCTCTAAAATCTTTTCGATGTAAAGATTCACATCTGATTCTGCCTAGACAAATTATTATTCTTTTTAAAAAAAAACGTTATTTTTTTGGCAGTAAAATAGTCATAACAAAATAATCATGATCAAAAAAGTTTTAATGTTGTAAAGTTAAGTTTTATAATTTTAACTCCGTCGTACGTACAGGGGTGTCCCACGAAACATGACAGTTGATGAATAGTTTAGAATGTTGTCTTCCTGGATTAGATTTGAAAATTTTTTGCAGTTTAGTTCGGAAGAAAATATAATGTTTAGTATTATTCTCTTTGGTATTAAACAACTTAACAAATTATGGAAGAAGACATTTTAAGATATTCAGCAACTGTCATGTTGTGTGGGACACCCTTTATAACAGGTTAACATTTTTGGATTTTATCAGAGCCCGTTCTTTATCAAACTAATGCATCCGTTTTAAAGAAACTTTCTACCTATATATCTATCTATCTATGTATCTATTGATATAAAACTGTTTCTAAGTTATAACAAAACTCATATATATGAGATTTGGTATACAAGTCAAACTTTAAACAGACCATATTCAGAAAATGCGCAATCAATCTGAACATCAAAATAACCAGAGGAGCCTAAAACTTTTAGGAACGCTCCTATTCTAATATGAATATAATACTTATTCATTTTTAATAATTATAATTGATAATATAATTGTCATGACTGTATCACGTGACCAGTGGCAGTGCAGTATCTGGTCACGGGGCTCTGTCGGCCATATGAGTTTTTGTATAACTTTGACACAGTTTTATATAAATTTCTTTAGACAAGGACATCAGATAGAACTAATATTGGTCGCAATCAACTCGTAAAATGTCTAGGCTTCAGCCTATGCCCCCTTTTGTTTTACGTTAACAGTCTATTTTGATTTACTTTGGGCAGACTTTGGGGGACGATTGTTTCACTGATAGATGTCTCCAACTCTAATTATCTATCAATCATATAAGAAACTTACATGAGACATCTAGGGGCCATACTATCGTTCCTCCGAGAACTGACAATGTTAATACGTAAGTAAGAGTAAGAAGGTCATCTGACAGAACAAAGAAAAAAATAAAGCTTGTAATATTTATAAACTTACCCGCTCTAGAAACTTCTCTTTTGTAAACCGTCTTTCTGGGTTTTTATGCCACATCAGACCCCAGAAAACATCAGCTAAAAAGTTGGCTGTATCGTTCAAATCCTAAAGAAATAGTTAGAAAACCCCAGGTCTAAACTTTTTAATTTATAATTTGATTAATCCCTACCCTTGCAACATTTTGCTTCTCAATATATGCCAGTTCCTCTCCTGAAACATTTCTGTTGAAATAATTGCAATATAAAATAACAAAATTCTGTTAAATATAAACGCGAAATTACACGAAATGAAAATTATTTCGCGTAACTGCACGTAATTTCGCGTAAGTTAATAATTGATTACGTTGGAAACCCTAGACTAGACTAAAAGGGAATGAAAGATTTAATTTCATCCAATTAAAGAGTTAGATGCTCGATTCACAACAGCACTTTTAATCCCAAATAGGCTGGAGGGAGGGAGGGGGGCGGTTTTATTTTCACCCTTGCACTCAGTAAAATTTTTGACACTATCATATTTGTTGACTTTTAATGAATATTAAAAGGTTTTTTGGTAAAAAACTTTTGTTTTTAATTTGCTTAGAGTACAGAGCGGTAAAAAGTTCGGTCCGTGTTAAAAAAAATAAAAGCTACAGATCTAAGAACTACATTTTTGAAAAGCCCTTGAAAAATGGATGTAGAAACATGTGACACATTTTAATATTTGTCAAAAACAAAAAATTTGGGGCCTTTTTTTAACCTTCCTAGCACCCAAACTATTAAAGTTCTAATTTTTTCCAATGATATGGCATTGAAAAATTAGGCTATGAACATGCATGGCGACCCTATACCTTCACTCTAACAATCTAAAAATCTAAACAATCTAACTCTTAGATTACACACCTGGAAGTTCTAGAGAAATCCACAAAAGAGCTCCAAAGTATGCATAGCAAATGCAAAGGAAAAGCAGGCCAACATTGGAAAACAAAAAGGAGAAAATTTCAGCCAGGATATCGAATGCTTTCCTCTTTTTTCTAAATAAAATTATCTGAATCTTATCCCGGTTGGACTATTTTTGTTCAAAATAGGGGTCAAAATTTTATATATTTATTATATGATACAAATATATCATTGTCCAAAATATATGATTTTCAAATCATAAAGATTTTTTATGAAATTAATGAAAGTTTTTTTTTACCGAATAAGAGTTCGCATTACTCCATCATCCTCATTGTGTGCTACCGCTGCTTTTCCTTTTTTAACCATCGGCGCCATTTTGTCAGCTGTTGAATTGTCTCTGGAAACAAAAATAAACAAAGTTTATATTTTTCCAAGGTTTAATGCAAGGAAAGTTAATTGTAGTTGCGTATATTCTGAAACCAGTTCTCTCTGGGCGGAATTTGTAAACAAGAATAGAAGCATCGGTGTTCGTTTAGTAGCCGAGGAGGTTAAAAGCATTAAATTTTAATAATTTACATAATATAATGACCAAAATATTTCATTGATTTTTTATGTGAAAAATCGTTTCCATGTCAGGCTTCGACATGGCCGTCTTGTGTTTACATTAGTCGCAAATTAGTTTACAGTTAATGTATTAAGGTAAACTATTTTTAAAATACATGTGCACACACATGCAGTACTGATCGAACAAATACTGTTGTTTTATGTTTATTTATTTTTTATTACTACTTGAAGGGCCCGGCGTTGCCCGTGGAAAAAAAGAAAAAAAATTCAATAAAGATTTTCAAAAATTTATTTTAGCCTAAAATACCCCCCGGCCCAAATATATGAATGTCTTGTTTTATTATATAGATAGGGTGTCAACAAATGCCGAGCTAAATTCAAAAAATGTTGCACGTAGCTTTTGAAAAACAAGCAAAAACAAACCAGTCTAAATTTAGCATTTTTCGAAAAAGGGTCATTTTTGAATGTTTTCCCACCATTTCTCAATCGGTTTTTCAAATTTTTCAAAAAGTTCCAAATTCCAATGGATTTCAAGCTCCTGGACAATTTCTATTAAAAAAATTAAGAAAAAATTATTTTTCAGCAATGTAGGGTTTTTTTTAAACTTTAGCAGCGATTGTATACTGTGATTCTCAAGCCGGCCTAGATCAAGTTCTAAGCTCATTTCGTCTTCACCATACCGTTTCCAAGGAGGAGGACGTACCTACAAGTTTCCAAGGGGAGACAACTCCCCCCTTCCCCCCCCCTTTAGTCGCCACTGGTTGTTAATATTAGGAGGTAGACCAAGACATATATATATGATAGTTTTTGTTAGATTTCAAGATCATATTCCTAACTCTAAATTTTAATGGGTTGTTCCGACCCCTGTATATGTTCCAACCCCTGTATATGTTCCGACCCCTGTATATGTTCCGACCCCTGTATATGTTCCGACCCCTGTATATGTTAGTAAACAGTCAAACATTCTACCCTCCCCTCAACGCTCCAAACAGTAAAAGTTAAAAAAAAAAACCAATTAACCTCTAAATTCTAATTGAAATTAAAATATTTATAAAAGAGCATATTTGAAGATTTGGTACTTCAAGTCGTCCTGTATCCTGTTTCCTGCATTCTGTATTAATTATTATGTATCCTGTATCCTGCATCATGTCTATATATTAATTGGTCTATTTATCGTGTATCCTTGATCCAGTCTAGTGTCTATATATTAACTGGTCTATTGTATCGTGTATCCTGTATATTGTCTACTGTCTATATATTAACTGGTCTATTGTATCGTGTATCCTGTATATTGTCTACTGTCTATATATTAACTGGTCCATTGTATCGTGTATCCTGTATATTGTCTACTGTCTATATATTAACTGGTCCATTGTATCGTGTATCCTGTATAATGTCTACTGTCTATATATTAACTGGTCTATTGTATCGTGTATCCTGTATATTGTCTACTGTCTATATATTA